ATAAATAAATAAATAAAGAGTTCTAGTATTCTGGAGTTTTTTAAATTTTCTATCGGAGTATTTTATTCTATATCTTCCAATAAATAAGAATATATCACAAATTAATAATTGCATAAAAATTAAGCTCTGATGTTTATGTGAATTAGAGCCGACTCTATATAGATGCGACAATCATTATTCGTGATTATTTTAAAATGTGGAAAAATGTGGAGAGTGGAAAAAAACGCGTAACATGGAGACTCCTATTCTATTTACGAAAGTAAAATCCTATATCATTATGTGTCATATTCTTTTTAAATTGACATTTATATGTGTGTTTAGTATTGCAAAGTGTAGAAATGGAAAAAGAGATAACTACTGCCAGTTTGGAGGAACAACTACCATTTAAGGTAGCTGTCACGTCTTTTTCCTTCTCTTTGCACCAATATTGGTTCTCATGGTTGTTGCTGGCAACTCTCAATTACTCTGGGTCTCTACATTTATGGATGGAGAGAATAAGTTCCGATTTCCATGTTGGTGAGTTGCTTATATTTTATCAGTAAACATTTGTGTGTTTTCTTTGAACTGAAAAACTTGCAATTGAAGTTGAAATTACCTATAAATACTTGTATCTCAATTTTACAATAATATCTCGAAATAAAAAGTTGGATTATCAATTAGGTTAAGGGTCGGCGATTTTGTACGGCACGATTGTAGTAATGTGTTCAGAATTGCGCACATGCACAATGCACAAACCTTTACTTCCCAGACAACCTGGCACTTCATGTGTCTGAAACGTAGACAAGACAACTCCATCGATCTGCAGTTGGGTAGGTTTTAAGCCACCACTGTGGATTGAACCTCAGTCCTTTACAACGACAGCTTAGAACCTTTGTCCACTGATCCAAGGGAGTTCCATTCTAATACGATTTCTGTGAAATCAACGATTCCGTAAAATAACTATGTGAAATTTCGCTTAAAAGCTTAATTTATAATAATTTGCTTATATAATAGTTTAATTTTTGTTCATCCGAATAATAGTTTAATTTGTTTCATAACGACATAGTTTTATTTATTTATTTTTTATTTTTTCGAAAGTAAAGTTGCATTCTTAACTGCCAATTTCTGACCAGAGTTGAAAAATCCACGGAAAATTAATTGTAAGATTAAATATGATCACCTCAATGTTTAATTTTTTTTAAATTTTAGTTGAAAACCAAATGGTTTTAATTTAAAACATTTTAATCGCCTGATGCCTGTTTGTTATATTGCCCCAATATTTACGGTTCTTTTTAATCCTTCTTTCATTCTCTGTACGTAAAAGTCGAGCTTAGAATTCTCACGTTTTATGCAAACTTTCGTAATTTAAAATTTGCTTTCTAAGTTACTGAATGGTTTAAGAATTGTTTTAATTCGAAGATTCTCTTCACAAAAACTAAATTCTTAATTTTTTGAATTTTTTTTTTTAAAAAGCGGGAAAAAAGATTTTTTTTCTCATTAGCGAAAATGGAGAATTATATATTAGGAAAATAGTTTTTTCCTTCGTATAAACTTAGGTAAGTTACTGAATGGTATAAAAAGTGTTTTAATTCGAAGATTCTCTTCACAAAAACTGAATTCTCATTTTTTATTTTTTTTTTAGAAAAAAAAATATTTCTTATTAACGAAAATAGAAAGTTATGTATTTAAAATATTTTTCTGCCAAAAAAAGAGTTTTTTTTCTTCGTGTAAACGTATTTTTATAAAAAGTCATCCGTTTTATTTCTTTCAAATTTAACAATTTAATGCTTTATTTTTAGTAAGTAGGTATACACAGATTTATGGTTTGTGTCAAGTTTCCTCTCTAGTTCTGGCACCAATAGCAGGCATTGTAATGGACAGAACTCTGAATTCAGCTGCTCAAGGTATTTTATCATCAACAAAATATCTGCTTAAGTCTTAACTTAATAGTCTTTTAATGCTGAATGCAAACATAAAAGATACCAAAACTTCGAATTATAGTAGGCTTATTCATTATTTTTAACCTTTCAGAGCCAGACTTTGATAAGCGAAAACTGATAAAGCTTAGATCTGGATTCTGGCCGATGCTTTTTACAACAATAGCGCAGGCTATTGTTCAAATTTGCAAGTTTTTTGAAAATGATGATTCAGTGTACATATCAATCGCCTTCACTACTATTCTAAGATCATTTCATGTTGCTGTTGCCTCTGCCTATTTAAGGATAAGGTAAGATAGAATTATTAATTTTTTAATTATTTTTAATTAATTAGTAGAAGAATTATTGTTACAATTAATAATTTATTAATTATTTTTAATTAATTAGTAGAAGAAGTATTATTATAATTAAAAGTTTATTAATTTATTAACAATTTTAATTTAATTAGCAGAAGAATTATTATTATAACTAATTTATTAATTTATTAATTATTTTTAATTAATTAGTAGAAGAATTATTATTAAAATTAATAGTTTATTAATTTTTTTAATTATTTTTAATTGTTACTTTAGGAATTATTCTTGATTCCAACTTTATAATTATATTTTGTTATTACTTTATTAATTATTACTGATCAGAGCTTCATTATTTATTTTCAATTATAATTTTATTAATTATCTGGAGAATTTCCTCTTGAGTTAAGCTAAAATTGTTTCATATTGTTTTAAAGATTTTTAAACGTCTGACGTCTACAATTCAGATAAAGAAAATAGCAATCTTAATTGAAGACCAAAGAGGATGAGCTGGCTATGTCCGTTTTTTTATCGCGATACTATCGCCATCTGCTGCATTTTGAGGATCACTAAGTTTTGACAAATCAATGACGTGAAAAATCAGTTTCTCACGAGAGTTATTACTCAGTGAAGATGGGCCATATTGTGGAAGATATCTTTCATTTTTCGAGCAAAATCCTTTTTCCTCGAAATCAGTTTTATGGATATAAATTGTTCGTCCCCTTCATCTTCAATTACAGGTTATTAATTCGAATATTTAAGGAGTTCACAAAAGGCTTAAAGTAAAATCAGTTTTGTCGTCCTAATTATGTTCGTTATCTAAAAATATTAGAATCAGTATAAAGTTTGTACTGATTGTACTATCTTGGGATAACGGAACATTGACGTAAAAATCCGTTTAATGTTTATCTGATCAATATAATAACGTTTCAAGATTACTACTAAAGATAAAATCCACGCAGGAAGACAAATGATGAATTTATGTCCGATTTAAGAAGAGCTTATCGGTAAACTACGCTACACTATCTGAACTAAAGTATACCGGCACCCAGTGGCACGAACTTAGCGTGTTTTGAGATTCGAACATTGCTACCTATATGACAAAGAATACTAGCTAAATAACTGTTTCTTTAAAAGGTGAAAGTTCATCTTACTCCAGCGAAAACACCTTTCGCTTTTTCCTTTGCGAACCCACATATTGAATTGTGAAATTTGTTTTTTTTGCAAAGTCATATAACCGCCTATTGTTTTGACCATTAGTTTTGTAACACGGTATGTGATAATTAGATATAATAATATAAGCATAAGTTAAATTTTTTTTGAGAAAATTGATTGAATATTCAAAATATACACACATTTTTTTTATTTATTTCAAATACACCAGTACATGAACTTCGAAGTTAAAACTAGTTGAATGAAAAAGATCATATCTTCATAGCAGGAAAAGTTTGAGACAAATTTTACTGCAAGAAAAAATTTAAAACAACATATTAATATGCATTCAGATCGTATGATAAATGTTCTATGTGCATTGCTATAAAACGCGCTTATGTCTTCATGGGATATATACACCGAAGAGCCATTACATTATGACCACCCTCCATCTATAACAATGGGCTCGCCCAGGTTTTCATGGTTCCTCAACCAGGAACAATGTTTTCATGGGGCACATTGGGACCCATAATCCTCATAGAACAATACCTGACGTCTGTAAGCTACTTGAGCATAGTTGCAGACCAGGTTCACCCATTCATGGCAACAGTTTTTCCTGCTGGGGATAGTGTTTAACAACAGGATAATGCACCATGTCATAAGAGTGAAATCGTCATGGATTGGTTCGAGGAACATTCCAGTGACTTTCAAGTCATGTCTTGGCCCCCAAATTCACCTGACCTTAATACAATAGAGCATTTGAGGGGTCCTACTTGGAAAACCAAATTCGTGCTGCCATGCTACCCCCTCGCAATGTGAGGGAATTGTAGGACCAGTTGGTGAGCGCTTGGTACCAGATACCTCAGACTACCTATCAGCATCTTGTGAAATCAACGCCACGGCGGGTGCTAGCAGTTTTGAGGGCTAAAGGTGGTCCTACTTGTTATAAGCAGGGTGGTCATAATGTAATGGCTCTTCGGTGTATATTCTAGTTCTAAAATTGTAGTTGTTTCTAAAGAGTAAAACTGTTGCAAAACAAAATTTTCCATAGATTTCCTGCAAGCCATTTCAACCGATTATTGGGCATTATGAGCACAACAGCTGCTGTTGGTTCCTTACTTCAGTTTCCACTATATGTTTGGGAATCCCATTCAAAAGAGGATGTTTTACAAGTAAGTGTCAGCAAAATTTATCGTAAAATTCAATTATAATATAGTAAATGGATATATTCAACACCTAGAAGGGAGAAGGCCTACTCATGGGTTACTATAAGCGAGAAAACTGATCCTTCAGTAGTCCAAACGTAGCGACATCTCGCGTAATTAACCCCACTGCACAGTGTATTAGCCCGGACGTAGTGATAATTTTCTTATTTTTCCTCACTGCGCAGTTTATGTTCTTTTCGTCGGCTACTAAAATGGTAAGTGCTGATGCATTCTCTCTTCTATGAAGTGTTGATATATTATAGTGTTCGCCACGAATAAAATCACTGGATTATAAAATCAGCAGCTTTTTAAAATCAAATCTGCAGGAATGGAATCACAATGTCAGAGCGTGGAAAAAGCATTCTTTTATAAAATTATTGACATCATTTTGTAAGATAAATTATTGTTGGGCGTGTGCTTAAAATAATTAAAAACTATGTTTCTCTTTTCTATTTTCTCAGCTTTTGAAAATATAAAAATAATAAATTTTACTGTGCTCTCCACGACCAAAAAGAGTAAAGTTACAGGCATGACACACACGTTTCTCCTTTCTATTTTTTAGCTTTTGAAAGCAGAAAAAATAACCAAATTTATTGTACTCTCCGCGACCAAAAAGAGAAAAGTTACAGACATGACACACACGTTTCTCCTTTCTATTTTTTAGCTTTTGAAAACAGAAAAAATAACCAATTTTATTGTGCTCTCCGCGACCAAAAAGAGCAAAGTTACAGGCATGACACACACGTTTCTCCTTTCTATTTTTTAGCTTTTGAAAACAGAAAAAATAACCAATTCTATTGTGCTCTCCGCGACCAAAAAGAGCAAAGTTACAGGCATGACACACACGTTTCTCCTCTCTATTTTTTAGCTTTGGAAAACAGAAAAAATAAACAATTTTATTGTGTTCTCCACGAACAAAAAGAGCAAAGTTACAGGCATGACACACACGTTTGTCCTTTCTATGTTTGGGCTTTTGAAAACAGAAAAAAAAAACAAATTTTATTGTGTTCTCCACGAACAAAAAGAGCAAAGTTACAGGCATGAAACACTTTTTCCGGAGGTCTAATACTTTTAATATTTGAGAACTTTTTCCAATGCTGCACTACTTAGGATTACTAAAATTTGCAAAATGTGATTATGAGGCAGTGATTTTGATCATTTTCATGTCGGTGGAAAAATGTCGCCAAACTGACGATTTTTTTAAAAAAAAGTTTAATAACTTTCAAAATATTTAAGTTATTTGTCTCTTCTAAAGTCTAGATAATTCTTCACAACAAGATTATGTATATAGCTTAATAAAATCACCGCATTGCTTCAAGTGTAAGCCACTTAAACCGTGGCTTTTTTTATTTTCCTTGGCGACAGAGCTTCGAAAAACAGCGTTAAAATTCATAGAACTCCAAAACATTTATTCGATGTAATTTATTCGGTACTTATGATAAGTGTTGCCGCAAACCATGAAACACTAGCTAAATTCTGTACGGAAAATTTCTTTACAAATTATCTGCGCCAAATGATTTGTAGCTTAAAAGGTACTGTAATAAACCGACATAAAATGCAATAAACTTTTCATTAATTTTGTTTATTATTTATTTTTGTTTTAAAAAATGCAAAATATGGTAGTTTTTATTTGATTTTTTGTCGAAAACCATTCTATAGTTTTGCTATCAATATGAAACGAGTTAGTTTTAGTTTTAAAATTTTAGCAGAAACCGATTCCATGAAATATTTTCATTTAACATAAAACGAATCTATTTGTTTTATTTTAAAAAAAATTACAGAAAATAGTTTTGATTTTAATGTTAGACAAAGCATATTTGTTTAAATTCTAAACTTTTCGCTCAAAAAAACTAAGGAATTAATTTTAATTTTAATGTTAAATACGTTTGCTTTTATAATCAATTCTATAAGTAGCATTATTTTGAGTATAAGTTAATACAGGCATATGATACACACGTTAATAATAAGTTAATACAGGCATATGACTTTGTTTCTAATTTTTAAATTTAAGCTTTTGGTTTCGAACGAAATGAATCATTACAGAGATATAAATATTTTAAAGCAATAATATGACATTTTTTAAAAGATTTCAAAGTTAATTTTAGCATAGTTAAAACAGAAAAAGTAAATTCACATCCTCTCTGTACTTTTTAATATAAAGGTTTAAGTTGTTTAGTTATTTGTTCAGTATTTATTTCAGTTATTATTACTTTCTTTTTTTTCAGGTAAACATCTTCAACCTCATTACTCTGTTGTTGTGTTTTGTTCACCCTCTTCATCTACTCTTCACACCTTTGCAGAAGCGATTTATTCGTAAAGAAAGAGACATTATACTACAAGCTAAAACCACGAACTCCTAGTCAATTAATAATTGTGATCCTAGTAGCAGCAGCGCACCAAGCGAAGATTTTTATGAACATGTTCGAGTAAAGCTTCTATGAGAGCTATAAGCGAAAATGTGTGGTGCTCGTGAAATTACTTCTTAGTTTCTTACCTGATGTGCTAAATTTGTAGGTGCCAAAAGAATTATTTTCCTTATTTTAGAGGAGCAGAACTGGAAATGCTTAAGTTGGATCCATGATTTTTATTTTTACTATAATTTCTCTCCTGATGCTGCATTTATACTTAAGAAAGTTCTTTTTAAATTGATTTGGTTTACTTATAAATGAACAATTCCAAAGATCAAATGAAGATAGTTTCAGTGAACGACTATAAAACTTATCAGGAGTTAAAACCACTTAATAATTGTTTTATAATGTATTATAATTATTAGATGTAGTTTTTTTTTATAAAAAATAAATGAGAATTATAAATGTTTAAATGAAAGTGAAGGTGGCATAATTAAGTTATAGAAAAAAGTATTATTATTTTTAATGCTTAGTTTGATAACAGAACACTGAATGGTGTTTTGTTAGCACTTGTAAACTTAACTTAAATAATGTAACTTAATGTACTTAAACGGTGATTAAATGGTGCTTTTTTATGCAAATTGTAAACGAATCATCTTGTATCATCTTCATAAAATATTTTTATACAGAGATGGCATGAAAAAAGTTAGGGCCCAAGAATGCATTCTGTTGGTTGAAAATATTGGAGCTATAAATAATTCAAATGATGTGCTTGACATTTGTTAATAATAATTAAAAAAACTAGTACAAAAAACACTGATAGGCGGTGGAATGGTAAATTTAATACTTTATGCAATGCTGAATTATACATTGGAACTTTTTGTATTCATTTTCTTCGTAATTCTTTTATAGCTGCAACAGAATTCAAATGGTTCTTGTAGTGCATTTTACCAATTGTGTTTTTTAATAGGTGGTGGGGAGATAAATTTAATACTTTATACATTGGAACTTTTTGTATTTGTCTCATTTGGTGGAATTATTCTACAGCTGTAATAAAACTCAAATGGTTCTTGTAGAGCATTTTACTAATAGTGTTTTTCAATAGGTGGCTGGGAGGGAAATTTAATAATTTATACATGCTAAATTATACATTGGAACTTTTTGTATTCGTCTTATTTGGTGGAATTCTTCTACAGCTGTAATAAAATTCAAATGGTTCTTGTAGAGCATTTTACCAATAGTGTTTTTCAATAGGTGGCGGGGAGGGAAATTTAATACTTTATACATGCTAAATCATACATGGGAACTTTTTGTTATTGAATTTACCACCTTTATATTATTACCTGGAACTTTATAGCATTTTACCAATAGTATTTTTCAATAGGTGGCGGGGAGGGAAATTTAATGCTTTATACATGCTAAATTATACATTGGAACTTTTTATTATTGAATTTACCACCTTTATATTATTACCTGGAACTTTATAGCATTTTACCAATAGTGTTTTCCTTGCAACGTGGACGTAGGCACACATGACATGAGGCAGTAGCTGATGCTCGTGCAAAATCCGTCGTATTTTTTACCACGAAGTATGGAGAAGAGGCTTGCTCTGTAACGCAAATGCTTTTTCCCATTTTCAACCTATGCAAATGTATGTAATGTATGCTTAATATATTTCTGTTGATGAACCTTGTTGTTCTAAAGTATTTTTGTTATTTAATATATGTCAAGTGCATAATTTAAATTACCTTTTGTACAAACTTTATCTCATTTGGACCAATATAACGCACGATAGTATCATCTGTGGAAAGTTTATTTTCTGCTTACCCCGTATTTAGGGCAATTACTGAAGGAGTGTGATGGTCTCAATTCCATTGAATGAGTAGCATAGATATGCCACTGGAAAAAGAAACACAGATTATATTCTAATTACATAATTGATGTTTCATTGCATATACTCGATATCATAACTGAGAAGAAGTAGTTATTTTAACAGGAAATAATAGGCTACGAAAAGTCTCAGCAACGTCCATTCTTCTTGTACAGAAGTGGCAAATATGAAAGTAACAAATATGTTCCATCTACATTAGTTGGATATGATATTATGATTTTAATGCAATGTCATTAACAGGACAATATGATAGTTAATTTGTCTCTTATGGGTGAAATATTATGTTTATATCATAGTTCTTTTTTTAATGCTGTTAATGTTTCATAGCTTTATGTCGCGTTTTATAAGCTATTTGTTTATAAATTTTATTTATTGTTCTGTGTTTTTTTTACTTAGTTGTTCCTAATAAAAACTAAATAAAACAGTTATTATTTTATTTTATTTGCATTACCGGAATGACACAAACTTATCTCTGCACCCTTTCTTAACGCAAGAAATAAATAAAACTTTTGAGCTCAGTTGTTTGTAAATGTTGCTATAAAGGTTGCAAAAATCGCAAATTGTTCCACAATAAGAATCAAATAAAATCTTAAAGTCGAATTTGAATCATTGTTTGCAAATAGTCGCTATTGAAGTCTCAAAGCAGGGTTCAACATTTACCGCTTTTCCAAGCTGCAAAACTGTCACAAATAACAGTCAAATTGTCCTATTACTACAGGGTCATGTTGTTACGGACCAAAACCTAAACGCGTACCAAATCATGTAGAAACGAAATCTTACACAGAGATGTCTAAGCTGACGTCACTTCCCTTATCTGTCCAATGTCAACCCACCAATGATCAATGAGTTACAGACAGCAACCAATAGGAATGCGTTTCTATTGGGATGTGAATATGTATCTTCATATAAGAATAGTGCAAACGACAATCAATTTATTTGATTCACTCAGTGATATAGTTCAGATTCTGGCCTGGACATTTTTATAGGCATTATCTAGTATAAAGAAAACGTAGCCAATAATTTTTCTTTAATATTTAACAACACACAAAAGTTAATTCTTATTTCCTGTGACTTCATATGTCTACACTTGGAACCGCTTGGTATTCCGACACATAAATTATTTTAATTATTCTGCTTATGATTCTGCCCGTTAGTTCATTGTCGTTAGTGGTTTTGTTCTCAAAATTACGTCCTCAGTAGATATTGACCACATGGAATTTTGTCTTGCAAGATTTTTGATACATATATTTCTTGCACATCAGATCATGTCTAAAGTTATTCATATCATAAAATATCAAATATGATTGTTGCACTTGAAAACATAAATTTAGAAATTTTGAACCATTATATCATTTAAAATGACTTTAACCATGAATCAAATTGACCCATATTTATTTCGCAATTGATCCTTCTTAAAATTGATATTAGAATGAATATTATACTATGCCGCAACTTGACAGAAATGCAGTTAAACATTGCTTTTGCTTTCTTTATTATGGCTCAAGATTGAAACAATTTTCGGGTATGTGATATGAGGGACTAATGATTTTTCATGTCTTGAAATGTCATCAGCATTATTCTCAGATAAACCAGGGGCGGAAATATCCACAAATGTTAAAAATCGATATTGTCAAAATCACGATTCTCAAAATCGTTGAATACATAGCGATTACGTTTCTCATAAAAATTCGCAGCATTTTAGGGATAGTTAAAAAAGAAATGGATATTGTCAAAATCACGATTCTCAAAATCGTTGCATACATCACGATTGCGTTTCTCATACAAATTCACAACATTTTATGGATAGTAAAAAAAGAAATCTATATTGTCAAAATAATGATTCTCAAAATCGTTGAATACATAGCGATTACGTTTCTCATAAAAATTCGCAGCATTTTAGGGATAGTTAAAAAAGAAATCGATATTGTCAAAATCGCGATTCTCAAAATCGTTGCATACATCACGATTACGTTTCTCATAAAATTTCACAGCATTTTATGGATAGTGAAAAGGAAATCGATATTGTCAAAATCATGATTCTCAAAATCGTTGCATACATCACGATTACGTTTCTCATAAAAATTCACAGCATTTTAGGGATAGTGAAAAAGGAAATGAATGCATGAAATATAAGAAAATACATCAGTAAAGGGACATCGGCTCTTAACCTTAAAAAGGATCAGGGAGGTAATACTCAGTAATGGAACTTAACCTTCAGAAATTATAGTAAATAAAAAAACACATTTGAGTTGGAAATACTGGAGAATGGCTCATATTTCTAGGTTTAGACAGGTTTTATACCTCGTGTTTGTCCCGCGTATGTTCACTGTTTTGTTCCACATTTTGAGATTTTTCTAACACTTATTTTCATATTTAAAGCCTTGAGTTCATTATATCAAACAAAGCAAATTTTAGTGATATTAGAAAGACAAATATGAAAGACAAATAGATTTGTGGAAGTTAATTGTGCATACGCATCAGAAAACCCCCCAAGTAATGTATAATTTTTAAACATTTCAAATTAATAATTTGAAATAACTTTAAATATTACAAGATATGTTTTTAAAGGAAGTTTCCTGACGAAGATTTTATTAAAAAAATCGAAGCCTAGAATATTTCGTTAATTTTCTTTAAGCTTTGCTATATTTATATCAGTAATCGCCAATACTATTGAAGTGAGGAAAATGTGATAAACAATCAATTACACGGCAGGAAATATTCCAAAAATATGCATAATCGGTGAGGAAGAAGGGATTCGGTTGAACACGTAAATACAATATCGATGAAAAAAGTAGAAAAAGTTAAGAGATATTTTGATTCGAATAGTTTTGTCAAGCAATAATGATACATTTAAACTGTTTACATATAGAGATTTTTGGCTCATTTTTTTTTATATTTTTGTTTAGAAAAAATAGAGATTCAAAAATGAGAAAAAAGTAGCCTTTTTTGATAATTTGTATAATGAATTGAAATTACTAAATTCAGGGTAAACACTAGCTGAATTTAAATCACTAAATTAAAGATCTTAAACTTTTTCAGTTCACTTTAAATATTTAAAAATTCAAAATGTTTAAAGAAAATACTTTTTACTCTTTTGTTTTTAATAATAACTGTTTTGATAAGTATATTTGAACCTATGTTAGCCTTTCGTAAATCTATCACCAATGAAAATAAGCCAAATGTTGAATTTTTACTGCTCTAACCTTAAGTAACCACACAATGAGGGTAACTTAAAACTTAATATTTTTTGTCTTTAATGCATATGTTTTTAAAAAAATTAATGCAAGTAAAATGCAGATTATAAACGTAGACTTAAGTTAAAAAGTTTTACAACAATTAATTCTTAAATAGGTAGATGTTTTAAAGTAAAAAAGCAATCTTAGTAATCCCTTATGAAGGTACTGCATTAATTTAAATAATTTAATTTGAAAAGTATATTTTGTAATCTCTTATGAAGGTATCGCATTGATTAAAATTTTTTAAATTGAAAAGTAGTCTCAGTAATCCTTTATGAAGGTATCGCATTAATTTAAATATTTTAAACTGAAAAGTAGTCTCAGTAATCCCTTATGAAGGTATCGCATTAATTTAAATATTTTAAATTGAAAAGTAGTCTCAGTAATCCCTTATTAATGTATCTCCCAATTAATTTAAACATTTTAAATTAAAGAGTAGTCTTAGTAATCCCTTATGAAGTTATATCGCGTTAATTTAAATATTGTAAATTGAAAAGTAGTCTTAGTACTCCCATATAAAGTTATCGCAATAATTTATATTTTTTAAGTTAAAAAGGTAATCTTAGTAATCCTTAAGAAGGTATCGCATTGATTTAAACTGAAAAGTAGTCTTAGTAATCCCTTATGAAGTTATATCGCATTAATTTAAGTATTGCAAATTGAAAAGTAGTCTTAGTACTCCCTTATGAAATTATCGCAGTAATTTAAATTTTTTAAATTGAACAGTAATCTTAGTAATCCTTACGAAGGTATCGCATTGATTTAAACTGAAATGTAGTCTAGTAATCCCTTATGAAGTTATCGCATTAATTTAAATGTTTTAAATTAAAAAGCAGTCTAAGTAATTCCTTATAAAATTTACAAATTAATTTAAAAATTAAAAAAACAACTCCAAAGCAAATCAGTCTGAAAAGGCCATGCATTTATATAAATAGAAGACAATATTTTGGCCAACAAATAGAGCGATAAAGTTTTAACTTAATTCTTTTCCTTCATAACAAATTTCTCTTCTAGAATTTAATCGCTATTTTGCTTCGAATTATTTTGTCCTCTAATTGTCCTCAATTGCATAAGAGATCCTACTTGAGGTGCTCATTACGATTTCTTCCAAAAGGAAAAAGTTAGCTTCCGATTTACTTCATTTTTCTTTACAAGCGGTTCCGATTTTAATGCTCTTATAAACAGACAGGTGTGCTTTCAAATTAGTTCATCATTTCTCGAGGCCATTCCGTAATATGTCAGGAAGTAGTTACTTCCTCTGGATGAAAAAGAAATAATCAAGAATATAAATCGGCATTTTTCCTTTTGATTAGAACATTATTATTAACTGGAATACATGGTTGAAGAAAGTTATTTTCGAAATCATAAACTAAAGGTATCAATATCGATTTTTTCAACCAACCGAATCACATCTTTATGTAATTTGTGGTGTTAACAATGCTCCGTTTTTGCTATTTCTGGTTCGTAAATGAATTGTTTGGTCACGCATCAACTTATTAAATAGTGAATAGTTTTTTTTTTCTAGGGAAAATATTGTTTTTTTTTTAACTGAAATAATCACAACCTAATTCGTTTTTCAAAACATATTACATTCATAAATACATACATAATATTTCATTTAATACATAATATTGGATTAAAACAAGCCGTTGTAGTTCAAGGGAAACCAATTTATTTGCGATTAGTTAAACTCAAATTGTACATGCTTATCTTCAAATGATAAATATTTCAAACATTTTGAAAGGTATTACAATTGTACAAAATTATAATAGGTCCAGTCCCTGCATCCAAACTTATCCTTGTATGATTTGGGGTGTTAATAATGCGCCGTTTTTGCTATTCTTGGTTTGTAAATTAATTGTTTGGTCACGGATCAGCTTGTTAATTAGTGAACAGTTTTTCTTCTGGGGAAAATATTATTTTTTTAATTGAAATAATCGCAACCTAATTCGTTTTCCAAAACATATTTTAGTTCATTGAAATACAAAATATTGCACTAAAGCAAGTCGCTATATTTGAAAGGAAGACTATTTATTTGCATGAGGTTCACAAGTTGATTTCAAATGATAAATTCAAACATGTCTAAAAGTATTGCTACCGTACAAATCTGAAATGAGCCCAGTCTTGTTTTATGTATTTGAAACTTACTTACAACAGTGAAAAAAATCTTGCGAATCATTTCCGGCGGATTTCTAAACAAATGTAGAAAATTATAATAGTTATAAAGCCATTGATAGAATAAAATTTATAAAAATAACAAGTTTAAATGTTCAAGGTACGTTTTCCCTTTAGATAAAACAAGCCTAACAAACAAGATTTTCAAATATTAATCCATTGGTAATAAAATTAGAGGACTTTCATTTTATAGTTACCATATTTTCCCCATTCCAATAATGCTGATAAAATGCATTAATAAGTTGATTTAAATTTGAAAAGAAAAATAATATTTGAACAAGAAAAAAGATTTGGGGAAGTAATTCTATATATGGCGTATTTTTTTAAATATTTTTTAAAAAAATTCCACATTTTAACTTGAGGATTTGAACTAAACAGATTAAACATAAACCTTTTTTTCATTTTGAAATATGTTGTTAAAAAAGAGGAAGAATATGTTGATTTTAATTAGAAATATAATATTTAAAAGTAAAATGAAGGGAAGGTTTTGAACCAGCGATTCTTTTAGTAGTGTAAATTTGCTTTTCTTAACTTATGTAGTTGAAAAAGTATGCTGTCATGTTACTGGTATAATTTTAGGGTTTTTGCAATCAATCATAATTGTATAAGAATGAATTTATTATAACGAATTGTATAAGAATGAATGAATTACTTTAAAACTCTTTGTTCCCTTTAAAAAATGAAGCCTAAACTGTGAAAATATGACAAATTTATTTTTTGGGCTATGAAAACATTAAAAAGTTCTTGGGTAATAATTTTCATAAAATTAACAATAAGGCATGGTTTTATGATAAGTGATAAAATTTGTTAAATGTAGTAAAATTTGGTAATATTATCATGATACCATAGAGCTTGGCATAAAAACTATTTATTTGGTTAAATTTATTTTCTTTTTTGTATTTTTTACTAAATGTATAATAAGAACTATAATTTTGAAAACCAAAATTTCCGCTTGACTACCATATGAATGAAAAAATTACCATACCTATGGTTTTAATACCATACATTTTGATTTTTACTACCAGAATTTCGCTCTCCGAGATACATTACTATTTTTTTTATGTAAATTATACAAAACAAAATAAATATAGTTTCAATTGCAAATATAAATGGAAAGTTTTAAATTGTAATTTTCTATACACTAGAAGCATTTTATAACATTTAATGAAAATTTTCAGAAAATGTACTGAGTCGTAGATAAGTAGGTGGGGGCGGAGTTATCGACCATGCCAACCTTCATCGATCAAAAATCACCTCGTGATTAAAATAAAGTTAACATGTCTTATATACCAGTGATTTGATGTTTAATATTCGTAGTGGTAGTTACGCCACAAGTATAAAAAGACCAGATAGTACTTTCATAGAAAAGTTTTGATAATATTTGCTTGACTTTTCATACAGTAGAAGTCTCTAACTATACAAAACAAAGTATGTATTTTAAAAAAGCTTCAAAATGTTTTTGCGACCGGTTTAAACACGAGGGAAGAAAATTCTGCACCTGCAATAAACAACTGCTAGCCCATATTTTTTTTTGCTTTACGATTTTCTTACGCCAGAAGAAAACGTAAGAAAGAACTTATAACCTTATATGAGGTTAGAAGGGGGCCCTGCCAATGTAAACAGTCCAAAAAGAATAAATCAAAAAAATTCTTGCGTCAAAAACGTTTCAAAAGAATTGTGCAATGGTGGAATAATGAGGAAGCAATCGATTTCTGAAGAAAACCGGAATTTCGTTCATTAAAACTGGACGAAAACTGAGTATTTTTTTAATAGCTTTTAGTTTCAACCACCAAATTTCTTAGCTTTATTTGTTTCAGAACTAATCATAATGAACATAGAAAGTGATTTAAGTTAGATTTATTTTTTTTCTTCAGAAATTTATAACAAGAATCTAAAAGAACAGCACATTCATGTGATAGACCATAAGTTTTTCTACCTCACTGTTTTTGGTTTTAGTTCAAAAGTTTTTCAGCAGATGAAACTGAAGATAGTTAACCAGTAAATTGGAAAAAAAACAATAAAAAAAAATTGCATCATAAATTTTCGAAATCTTGTAAAGTTATATGCCACAATATTTTTGAAATGTCATCGAACTGAGATTAAGAATCCTAAAAGCAAATTTTAAACCTTTTTCCCACGATGTCGTTGAAATATTTTTTTTACCATTGCTGTTATAAACTTCTAATTTTGAATACCATGTGTACATCCGAATTGTTTCTAGATGTCTAAGTGCTCAGTCAGAAGTTCCTTCGTCTTCAGGGTTGGGTTCAAAATTACAATGGCTATCGAGTTGAGCAGTGATAGCTGAATATTCAACAACGATTGACTATATATTCCTGGTACTAGTCTAAAAAGTACACATACGTCATTTAACATTTTAGTCATAAGTACTTGTACTTTCCTTTTAAAGCAATGAAAGTACTAATGGATGGGTGATCGTGTAAAGCTAAGGGTGGTGGCGCTATTGGTAAAATTGCTCTTTCAAGACTTCCGGGTTACTGCTTCCGATATATTTTTACGCCGCAGATTGAAAAAACGCGCCATCATATTATTGCATCATATCTTTTGCAGTACCGAGTTCTTTCGTTCAGCCTTTAAACTTCAGCATTATCATATTAATATTATAACCATTAGAATATTTTCTAATTAGGCTAACTTAAGAACATATTTTTGGCGACATTTTATTCAAATGTAGCCAAATAAGGGATAAAATACAAAACATGGCAAACCTTAAGAATTATTCACAATGAGATATTAACTTTCCAAATTTTTTTTGGCTTTACGACCTCTGAAAATCAATACATTTCTGAAAGCTCATATGAATGGTACAATTATGTTTAGATTTGAACCCTAATTACAATAACAAAACTGCATAGAATATTTGGCTTGTTCACACATTGCCTCGCAGTCATAACATAAGCGGAGGGATACACCGGAAATTTTCTAAATTTCTTCCGGTTTAAGGACGCTTGTTATTGTTTACATTAGACCACCCATCCATAAAAGTATTAAAAAAATTAATGAATTCAGGTAAAAAAAGTCGGATAATTAAAATTCGATTTTTCTGGAAAATATGCGACCAATTTCGTTCAAATTTTGCATTTTTCCTTTTTAAATTATATTATTTAAAATGATATAAAAATTTGTATTCATTTATAATATTAACCTTTTTGTCAAATAAAAAAATAAACCATGAAAGTAATAAGTAATTATTAAAAATTATTTTTCCCTGAAATTATTTTTGGATAATTGAATTTTATAATTATGCGGACAATTTTTTCCATTCTCTTTAAAAGTGGGATACTAGAATTGCGACTATCACCTATACTTTGGGGATTATAAGATCATAATCTACCGAAAAAAGATATGTTTACTTAGAGAAAGTATGTTTTTGTGTCTGATTTAGTAACTTAAAATATCGTCTGCACTAATTAATTAGGATATTTGAAAATACATCCACAAACCTTTAAGACTAAATTCTAGAACATTGTAAAAAATGTCAAATAAAATTACGATTAAAAGTATCGGCTTGACCTTAAAATCAATTTTCACCAGAACATGCTTTTGAACAAACTATTTGCTATACCGTAATATTTATAGTAATAATTACCGTAAAATCACTGAATCATTTTAATTAAATAAACATAACTGTAAAAATTACGGTATAATATTTAAAGTAAAAATTGATTCTACGGTAAAATAGATTATACGGATGATACCCCATCTGCCACTTCTTTATACCATAATTAGATCTAGAATTTCCTGAAGTGTACGTGGAAATTCAATTATTTGATCAAAAGTTATTCAGGGTGCTTTGTTTATTTTTTGCGCACTGTACACCTAGTCATTATAAGGAATGTTCAGCATTTCTACGAAGTAGGAAATATGATTATTACATAATTAACCATGTCATTACAAAGAATGTAAGTTAAATTTTCATTAGCCATTACAGAATGAGAAATTTTTGAAATATTAATTATTTCGTAGTTTACCGATTTGCCATGAAACATTTTATAGAATGCCTTAGCTGAACTATTATTAATTTCATACTTTGCCGGGCGATGTCCTATATTTCTAATGTATTGTTATACATACGGTAGTTTTATATTCAGTTTCATGCGTTGTCTTTTACTTTTTCTTTGTGCAAATATAATTTAAATTGTTATTAAGGTTTACATAACTAACCATGTGTTACCAGTTGACCGAAATATTTTTTTAATGCTTAATTTCTTATAAATATATTTTATATCAATGTAAACAAATATTTTAAATTGGGTATGATTGGGTAGTTATTTTTTCTTACCTTTTTTCATTCTTAGATTCTATAGAGAAAAAAAAAACCAAGAAAATATAAATGGAAAAGAAAAATCCAAATTTTATTGTCTAGAGAAAAGAAAAAAAGATTCTTTTGAAACTGATACTTGTGGTAGGTATGCAATGTCATCGAGGTTAACACTGATTCAAGCAAACAAACCAAACAAAGAGTAAACGCCCGCTAGTGTTAGGGAAATAGAACTCTGTTCTAGAACTGCGGGCACTCAGTCGTGTTTTATCATTTAACACGAGGAAAGAAGTAGCTATCAAACGTTCCATTTCAATGGCGGGAAAAAAAGTGAAAGTTCTTTTTTTGAGTGAAAGTTAAAAATCCTGCCTTAGGCATGTCGGAAATCAACGAGTTTACATTTTTTATCGTCTGCTTCGCCAGTTGCCATTTCGCGCTTTCCTCTTGTTGCACGTGTCTGTAGTAGTTACGGTTTTCTAATGTTGATGAATTCCTTACATAATTTATCTCATCTACAAACTATCGATAACTGAAAGTGTGGGAATCTTTTATGTTCCATTGTGGCTCTAATTTTGAAATTTATTTTCAAGGTCATATTTGTGTTCGAAAAGGCATGCCGGTGTTTAAAATTATTCTTTAAATAACTGGAGGAAAATTCTGATTTTGACTTAATATAAATTCCAAATTAACTCCGAAAATTGCAGTTTTTTTATTATTACATTCAATAACTGATAAGTTTTGATTTTAGAGTAAGATTTGAACATCATTTTGGAATCTGAATGCATTTAGAAAAAGAAACGTTATATACTGATTATGGTCCGATCAAGTATCTGTGTATAGTTTTTGGTTATTATAGGATATTTTTCTAGCTATTATGCTCAATTGATTACTTCAAAAATGGTTGTGAAAAAAATTACCCTCCAATGTGGAGTGATATTTTTACTCGTGTGTTTTAAAATCTATCCCTTAGAATCGAGAACAATAACAAACGAAACAGTATTCACTGATTCATCATTGCCAAGCACGCAACATTCGCTACATTCATCAATCGACATTCATCATGCTCAAGATGTTGTGCCAAATACATACAAATTGGAAGAAACTACAAATGGAAGTCTCGATGAAATTGTTCACAACTTAACAAACATTTCAAACTTTGATGGAAATATTTCAAATTCTAGCCAAAATACGGCTAACATTTCAATAGGATCTCAGTTCAGCTTTGCAAGAGGAGTGCCATTTTATTCTTCGACGGACAAAACCAATGAAGACGAAGATTTTAAAACCACCCATTTTCCTCAAGATGATTTTTCGATTCCAGAAAAACAAGACACTAAACATACATTGAATGCTTCATCGACTTTTGTTCCGAAATCAGACGATTTATTTGGTGATACTAAAACTGAAAACGATACTGATTTGGATTCTGAAAGAAAAGCTATCGAGGATTTTGGGGAAAACATAATGAAGCTAAAAGAAAACGTGAACACGTTTAAAGATAACTTAAGAAAGATATTGTTTGAGAAAGATCTAGTTAACATCGATTTGATGGAAGACCAGCTTGAAATATCTGCTAAAAAGAAGCTTGAGGATAACTTATTCACTAATTTAACACCATCAATTTTATCAGGTATCAGCACAAATATTACACAGAACAAAACGGCAATAACTACTGAAGTTCCTATTTTAGATAAACAAGTTAATGTGTCAATAATGGATAATTCTTATAAAACTAAATCTAGTCAAGTTTATCCAAAAATGCCAGAAAAAGATCTTTCTGAAAACACCGAACGAATACAACCGGTTGAATTCAATCGAATCTCTGCATTTGCCAGTAACATCAGCGAAGTTAGCAAACGGATGGGTGCATTTTTGAAAAAGCAGTACTGGGAATTGAACTCTAAAAATGAGCAGAAGGCATCTGAATCCGTGATTTCAAGGGGTAAGTAAACATCTCAAAAATTCTTGGTCTATATTGAGTTTATTGAAAATTTGTCAAGTTAGTTAAAATTTTATCATTTATTATGCCTAATAATTCCTTGAAAATGTATTCATTTATTGGAAATTTAATCTTTAAATTTATAAGAATCGCTGTTAATAAGGAAATTGTTTTTAAATAGTTTTAAGCTTATTTTGAAGTGTTGAAAGTAATATGTACTTAAATATAGAAGTGATGATGAATGCTGAAGAAAACGATATTTATTTTTAATTATTATTAGGAAATAATAATTTAAGTTCTACAGAATAATAAACATAAATTATTCTGTGAATGTACTGCGATGATTGCATTATATTTGAATTACTTGTCATTGCATAGACTTTTCTTCCTAGAGAATTTAAGCAATTATACTTAAATTTAAAAAAAACAAAACAGAGAACTTAAAAAAAGCAGCGTTGGGACGAGATCGGAAAGTAATCGTTAACTTTTTTACATAATTGAAACTATGAGCCTTTGATAATATTTCCTGAAAAGAATACTTTATTTTATGCATATACAGAGTGTCCCATAGTAACTGCCTCCAATATAGGTTTAGAATTTTTGACAAAAATGAAATAAAAAAGAAATTATCTTTCAGGGGCAAATTAATATTTAAACAATAAAGAAATAAAAATGATAACGATATTTTAGATTAATCTCGCTTATATATTTATTTACTGGTCTTAATCTTTTTTTTTTACTTTCTGCATCTTATGTTTATTAAAGATATACTTTATCTTTCGTTTATTAAAGGTGGTTACTATGTAACTATCCATAATAACCAGATGTTGATATAGCAATTGTAAAAATATTAATGTTTAAATACATGACCAAATAACTTTGAATCCGATTTATACAAAAAAATTTTTTTCTCAAGTATACAGACAAAATCACTGACGTTTAGGACTTTCGGATAAATATACTAATATGCATGCTCGTTAGATATGAGGGAAAACGTGAAAATCGTAAATGTGAAGCTCTTGGTAAAGGTTATGTTCCATTTACTTCTAAAGATATTTTCTCTCAGTACAACAGATATTCTATCTATCATTGATTTAAAACGTATATAATATTTGAATACAATTTCTATTATGGGAACGACAAATACTATTTCAAACTAAATCGACTTGTTTTTTTAAACTTGATTAATAATATAAAAATAACTTAAAAAGTTTTTCTTTCAATTCCTACTATTATTTCACACTCTCCCTATATATATTTATATATCTTCTTCAAATTTTAAATCGTTAATAAAATACTTTTTATTTATCCACTCAAATTCAAATAAATTTTTTTAAATTTGTTGTGGATGACACTTGATGTTAATTAAGTTTTTTTTCAAATATTAATTCATTAGTTAATATTAATTAATTAATTTTATTTTTATGCCTATTTTGCCACTTAATGTTGTGATTTTGTCATATGTATACACATATTTATATTTATTGTAATTATTTAATAAAAAGTAGCTAAAATAAAATTCTTCTTTGTTGACCTACGTAGGAATTGACTTAAATTTTTTTTTATATATTACTAGTTTAATAAGAGAAACATCAAAATATTTTAATAAGAGTACCTACTGTTATATATCAGAATTTCTCTTCAAGTAAATGTTCTATACTTTCGAAATCTATTTGCCCAAATTAAAAAAAAAATATTTAATAATAAGGATTGTAATATGAGGAGCTATATTTTGTTAATTGTGGTGAAAGAAGAGATATGTTTTTTTTTATCAAAGGAGATTTTAACAGTAAAACTCATGAGATGCTTAAGATGCTACCAATTTGCAATTTCTATGTTTGCTAAATATTAATGTCTAACAAATAATGTCAACCTGGAAATTTTATTTTATAAAATTTCCAGGATTAAAATTTTATAAAGTTATTATAAAATTTTATTATAATAATTTTATAAAATTTTAATCCCTATTATAAAATTTTATTTCGAAAAAATATTTCTTTAAAAAGTAGTTCAAACTGTTTTTCCTCTACTTTTAACAGCAGCAGATTTTGTATAGATCAAGTTATTTTAAATATCATCTTGCAATATAAACTTTTTCTAATGTTTAAATTTAAATCTAAATTTTCATTTAAAAAATAATTAAGTAAAAAAATTTTCGATAAATGTTTGCCAAATCTCCCATTTCCTAAGAATGATGAACTTCTAAAATATATTTTTTCAACAAGAAATATTTTCATTCTCTACTTTAAAATCTATAAAACATGTATTTGTCTTTAAATTTTACATAATTTTAAGATTATTTTAGTTTTATTAAGATATTTAATAATCAGAGATTAATTTTTTTCTTAATTTATAACTCAAGTAATAAATTTAAATTAAACAAAATTTGATTTAGAGAGATATTATTCACAAAAAATATAAAATATATAACTAAACTAAAACAAACATTAATCATGTAAATAAATTTAAAAAAATCAATAATAATTTAAAAATAAATTATAAAATATATGTAAAACATATTAAAAAACAATTATATTTGTGAGAAAGAAAAATTTTTTAAATCCTTTTTTTTCTGGGAGTAAATAGCAGATCTACTTATATATCTTTATTTATATTCGACCCAGTCATATACTGTAAAAAATTCCAGATCATACTACGGTTAAAAGTACCGGCACTTAGGGTGCCGGTATTTTTTTGGGTAGAATCCATTTCTACCGGGACATGTTACGGAACGAAAAATCTAATTTGCCGTAATTTTTACAGTAATAATTACCATAAAACTTTTGAATAATATTAATTACTCTTAAAATTGCAGTATAATATTTTACGGTAAAAATGGATTTTACGGGAAAATGGATATTATGGATGATGTACTTTGTACAGTAATTTGATCTAGAATTTTTTACAGTGTACCTTACAGTAACACTTTGTTTAACTTTATGTCAAGACCCAAACGTACTGTGAAATAAAATACTATCTACTAGCATTTATTAAAGAGTATTATAAATTTTACAAGGAAAAAATATCTTAACGACAAGGATTATTTCTTAGTTCTCCCGTAAAAATAAAATCGAAATGAAATAAATAAAATAAAATAAAATAAACAAAATAAAATAAATAAAATAAATAAAATAAATAAAATAAATAAAATAAATAAAATAAAACATTTTCTTAAAAAAATTTCAAAAATTTAAAGTGCATGCCAAGAATAGTTATACTTTTCTTTGTGTCGTTCTTAAATTACTTTCCAGTGTGAAGTTAAGAACATGAAATAATAATAAAAATGAATTTCTTAGACCGTGCAAAACACATTCAGTGTGATGCGACCCGTTTTATGGAAGATATCAAGAGCCTATCAACTTTCGAAATTTCAAAATAAGTAGACAAAAGAACAATCAAGTAAACCAACAGAAACCTCAGTAAACAATAAAATGAAAACTGCCACAGCATGAAATTACTTACAAGATTTATTTGATGTCTTTTTTGTGAATATGAACGTGACATGTTTGAAGAAAGAGAATTTCATTTTGTCATGTTTTGAGTGGTAAAAATGTTATTACATTTTTAATCTTATTCAATTTTGAAAATGGATACTGAAAACTATAGAATTTAATTTTCGAAAATCTCACTTTAAAATAATACGCATATTTTATTTAATTTAGACATTTTTATTCAATATTTATAAATGGCTTATAGTTAAATTTCATATTATTAGTTTTAAAAAAAAATCTAGACAATTATGTATAACTTTAATGGCAAATCCACGTAGAAGAGAAGAATTATGTAAACTATTTTCATGAAATTTAGGTTTCTGATTTTATTAGCTTCTAAACAAAATTAGTAAGTTATGTAAGAGTACTAGAGGTTTTTAAAATTGCAAAAATTTGTATTTATTTGGAGACATAGTACATCAATTCATCAAATTTTAGAAACTTATTTTTTGAAAGATACATTTGTAAATACTATCAAAATTTGTAATAATTATTAATTACCTTAATTTGAAGGAAGCACAAATATTCCCACCATTTATTACTTTTAAATATTCTTTTTTTTTGTGTTTTTCGGCCAATAATATAATTTTTATTTCTCAAAAGACAAAAACTGTCAAGAAATCCACATGATATATAAATCACCTTTTTATTTAAACTATTAATTACATTTATATATAACCTAATTATATACCAAATTACACCTAATATAAATCACCTAATTATATGTAACTCACAAACCATGAAGGGAAATGGATTTCGAACCAAGAAAAGAATTTCATATTTAGAGTATCTAACTTCTGTAATATTTTCAGATAACATCAGTAAATATCAGTAAATATTAATTAAGTAATAATTTTCCTTAATATTATTTTCAAAATTTAAAATTACAAAACAGAGCAGATATTAATTATTTTGTACCATTAATTAATTTATCGTTTTATTAAAACTAAATTTTTTATGTAGGTGTAAATGATTTCTATTTTTATAATTTAAAATGATGTTTCAATAATTCTTTGAACAATTTTTTTCTCTATCATGCAGAATTTATGTCGTTGTCATAATTTACTTAATTATCAATGTATTCTGGAAAATTCCTGAAGGATATAACCTTATTAAATAATTTAATACTTAATTATTTGCTCAAAAGTATTTACAAATAATCCAATAAATATTCTTGCAGCTTTTCTTTAAAAGTGTTAATAATTTCCCTATTCTGAATTGCAATTTACTTATTTGACCATAGAATGCTCCATTAACTTACATAAAAAAGCATTATTTCTCAATGAAGAATATTATTTTTACTCAATTTAAAGAAATATTTTGGTCGAGATAGGATATTAAAAGTATGAACTGACCAAACACAGTAATAAAACAATCAAAATTATTTTCCTAAAAAATATTATAGAATTTAAATAATTAATATCATTCTTGAAATAACATATAACAGTTAGTTAATTGAAAAAGATTTCTCATTGAATGAAATCGACTCGGTGTACTCTTCGAAATTTAGTAATAATCGAAATCATCGTTTTTAAGGTCTGGAGAACTTGGTGGGCAGTGTGGAAGAAACAGAGCTGCCATCATCTCAAGTTCTGCAGCAATGGGTTAACCTAGAAGAATCTTTTCGTGAATCTGTGGATGCTGTTGTTCGCCAAGCTCTTCCGCTGTTGGTTCGCGCATCATCTGAAATGCAGCTTAGCAACGGTTGCTATACAAGTTTTTTCCAGCTATTATTAGGTCTACGTCGTCTCAGACCGTGGGCCTTCCAAAGTAATTATATATCTTTTCATATTGATATTTTTTGTCAGGATCTTATAGTTATTTATTTAATTTAGTTGGCACGGTTTAGTACTTAAGAAATGAATTGTTATTGAAACAGTTTCATAATTATACGAGCAGAACTTCAATAATAACATTGGGGAACAAATATTTTGTTGCTTTTGTAAAGATATTTGATCTTGCCGATTTCGGGAGTGGAGATTTCAAATCTGATAAAAGTTTCCTTTATTTTTTTTAAAGTGGCATTTTTAATCTTTTTTTTGTTGAAATGTCTAAGTTTGAAAACGTTATATATAACCGCTAGTAGCATAAATATTGCGACAAACTTTTAGGGGAGTTAGGGCAAATAATTAGGATTGAAATTACACAAGAAACAATGCCCAGAAATGTCATCGTACACGACTAGAGGCACTTTCCTACTATGACACATTCCGAAGCGCATGGAGAAGCAGTTCATACTAAAGAAGCACCCCTAGACGCATATGACGACATTTCAAGGCATAGGTTCCTAGGCAATCTTACTCGTTATGATCTGCCCTAACTCCTCTAGAAGTTTGCTGCAACTTTCCCGCAGCTCCCTATTATATATAACGTTTTCAAAATTGTACATTTCGACAAAATGTAGTCTAAAGATGCCAACAAGCTAGTTAATTAGTAAGATAATACTTAATAACACAGACCAAAAAGAAAAAGGAAAAGTTTTCGAAGCAAATTAGGGAAAATAGTTTTAATTACATTGCTATAACTCAAACTAAAAATTATTTTAAAAACTGAAAACTATTCTTTTCCAGTGATTGACGCATTTGGGAAACCACCGGCTGGAATGTTGCAAGGTACGGTGACATCTTTTGGAGCTTTTGATGAATGTGTCAATATACTTGCTATGTCTGATGCCAAAAAGAAACTACCTCCGACTCAGTACTTTCGTGGAAAGTACTGTACTATAGAGATCAAGCCTCCGTTACCACCCAAACCTCAGTACTATACCATGTATCAACCAGTCAGCATTTTGGCAAACTTCTCGAATGGAGATGATAATGTAAGCTCATTAATTATTTTTTAGAATATTATAAAGAGCTACTTATTTTTTGGATAAAGCAAAATATTCCTGTCTACATGAATATCAGAAAAGTTTCTGGTAAAAAGAAATACACCTTTAAATCATATTTGCATATAAGAGTTCTACACTGCGAAAATTGTCGTGTAATATCTCACCGAATATAATGTTGAACAACCAAAAAAATTGGACGAATGGAACTTTCATTCTAGGCTTACGTCAAATCAAGCGTTCATATACGATTTAAAGGGTATTATTTAAATCTAAACACTTAAAATTGAACAATTTTGCACCAAAGTCTTATGCTTTGATTCTATAAGAGAATTATTTTCACTTTGAAAAGCACCAATGTTTACGCGCTTTGAATTTCAAGAAATGCCAAGTAGAATATCGCGAGTAGTTTGTTTACAATCTAGAAAGAACTGGAAATAAATAAATAAATAAATAAATAAATAAATAAATAAATAAATAAATAAATAAAAATGCTTAGTATAAAAGCTAATAATGACATTATATACAAAACTATAAAGTTAAAAAAAATGTCTTGAAATCAATTGGCAAATGTAAGTGGCCCAATGATGGCAAACTTCGTTTAATTACTAAGAATTGATAGGAATTATAACTATTAATTTTTCATGGAAAGACTCAATATTTTTATAATTGTAAAAACTATATGAAACGAGAGGTTAATTGTAAACGTCTTTCTCATTCATATTTGAACGTTTATGACAGTTCATTTATTTCAGATCATATTTTTATGAGTACAAACGAATTGCACCAAATCTGATAGATGATGAACAGCTTTCAAAGACTGTCTATATTTTTGACACTTCATAAAGGCTGTGTCTAATGAATTAAAGGATAAGCATACGTGATATTTTGACACTCGTCTACACTCCTAGAAAAAAACTAGTTCAAAGATGCACCACAATATCGGTATTTTAAATAATTTTTTGGGGAGAGTTTGCTTCAATCGAAATAAATTGTTAAATGAAGCATGTTTCCATTCAAGTTACAACGCAGTATTGTCACTAATTTGAAAGGTTAACACCGAGGTTTAATTAACACTTTAAACTTTGGAATGTAATTTTTTAAACTAATATTTTAGAAACAAAAAATTTTGCTGTGTTTACATAAGTCACCATTAATGTAAACAAATTACGACATAAAAGCAAAGAAATTTCGAAACATTGGTTAAAAATCAGGTCTATCACGTGTTTAACACGTGTTGTTCTATATAACGACGTTTTGTGATCTTGCTATTGTCATAGTTTTTAAATATTGCACTTCATTTTATAAACAGTGAATGTAAAATATGTTGTTTGTCTTTCAATTATGATGAAAAAAAGCTTATTACTTTGGAGGTTCTATTAGCTAAGATAAACAATTTGAGTTTGCAAAGTTAAGAGGTAGCGCTAACGCAATAACAAGCAAAATATTACTTAATTTTTATGTCCAAATGTAAATTTTATTATATATCTGTTACAAATTTTTTTCATCATAAATAAAAGTACAAGATAAAATTTAATATAGATTGTTTAGTTAGAAATAAGAAGTTATTTAATAATAATACTTTTTCAAGATCTGTGAAATAGCTATTGTTTTCGTATATTCTTACTTAATTGTGTTTTGTTTAAAAATTAAACTTTACATACTGAGAATTTTCGAAAAATATTGGAAGCTTTTATTAAATAATTTTGTCAATATTACACTTTACTTTAGACAATTAAATAATTAATTGAAGTGAAATATTCTGATTAATTAATTATTAATTAGAATCATATTATTTCTAATTAAAATAATATAAGTTCAGATTAATTGAGTTAATTTATTTATTAAAAGAAACGATTGTAAAAAAATTCGTCATGACAACGACCACTGATAATTCACTGCAAAATGCAAGTTAAAGTATTTTTTCCTTCAATTTCTCAATAATTTTGATGAGGAGGGATTGTGAGTTAAAATCTGAAGAAAAAGACTTTCTTGAGAACATTTGTTTTCGATATTTTTCTTTCTAAAAGCATTATTTAACTATTAAATTAACTTAATTTTTATATTAATTTAATTTTTTTATATGTGAATTAAGATTTTAAATGCAAGATAACGATTGTTATTGTTACGGATCAAATTACGGTAAAAAGTGCTGGCACTCAAAGTTCCGGTATTTATGGTCGGTACTTATTAAAAAGTAATCATCAAAAACTTTTATATTTGTGTTAACCATGCTTATTAATATTTTAATACGTATTTATTAGTTTTTCAACAACCTCATTATTATTGAGCTCAAATTATATTATTAACTATATTACAAAAATTTTTTATTTTGAAATATAATTTTAAGCTAAATATTAAATTATTATTAGCTATAAAATATTTCCAATTAATTCAGTGGTTAATTCTTTAAGAAAAACTCGTTTTCATTAACAATATGGTATAAAATATTTCAAAGAATCTTTAAGTTTTTAGTCAAAACAATGAGGTTGGCGTTACATATGAAAAAAAATAAGTATTGTATAGTAAAAAAATAAGTATTGTATCGCAAAAAAATATGCAATAAAGTATCAAAGATTTTTTTCCTTCATGTAAACATTGAAAACTATAATTTGAATGTTGAAAAATAAATTAAATATTAAAAAATGTAGGTTAAGCATTAAAAAATGTACACATATTTTTTTACCCATTAAAATGAGAAAAAAACCCATTGAGAAAAACTCATTATCTTTAGCAAAAACTGTATGATATAAAATATTCCTAGAAAGATTAAGTTTTTAATCGGAAAAGTTTTATAGACGTTAAATCAAGTTTATAGTATTATAGTATTTATTCCTAGAGTTATATGAGTTTTTCTTAATATTAATATTGAAATATATAAATAGAAAGGAATCGAGTATTAAATACTATAGGAACAATATGAATAAAATATCAAATTTATGGTTTTAAATAATAAACTACGAGCTGAATAATTGGAAAATATAGACTGATTAGTAACTAAATTCTACTTGAAAAAATATTTAAGTTAAAAAAATACAAATTGAAAAGTAAAAAATATTAGTTGAACAATAAAAAAAATATGGAACTATGAAATTACATTTATTTTAGAAATGCATATTATTTGAATGTTGAAATATATAAATTGAATATTGAAAAATATAATTGAATATTAAAAACATAAATTGGATATGTACAAATATAAATTGAGTATTAAAAAATTACAAAGTGAATATATTTGAATATTGACACTTTGAATAACTTTAAATTGAATATTAAAAAATATAAATTTAGTATTATGAATATACAAGTTGAATATTAGAAAAGTTTATACAGAACATTGAAACTATGAAATTACATTTCTAAAAAGAACATTATTTGAGCATTGAAAAATATGAACTCAATATAGAAAAATATAAACTGCGTATTAGAAAAATGCAAACTAAATATAGAAAACTAGGAATTAAATATTAAAAATGCTAATAGAATACTGAAACAATGAAATTGCATTTAAAAAAAAAGATATTTGAATATTGAAAAATATGAATTTAATATTGAAAAATATGAATTGAATATTGAAAAATATGAATTGAATATTGAAAAATATGAATTGAATATTGAAAATTCTGAGTTAAATATTGAAAGTTATAAATTGAATTGTGAAATAAATGTCTCGAAAATTGAAAACTTTTTGTTGAAACTGTTTCAAAGCGTGAATTAATACTGAGAAAAATGTATGGTCAAAGCTACCAGAATATGGTAAATTTTACCCATATTTTCCTACTCGATGGGCAAACCAAAAAAGCTCAATAATTTTTTTGCTGATGAGCTTTGGTACTGATTTCGGTAAAATTAACAATAAAATCTAATTCACATAATATGTGATAAAATTTAGTAAATGTAGTAAAATTTGGTAATTTTTAATAATACCTTAGACCCAGAATGGTAATTTTGCCAGAATTTTTTTCTCCCTATATGAAACTCACTTTATTAAGATTATTTATTTCTCTTTTCCCATACTATCACCTTTCCTATATAGATCAAGAACAGAAGCCTAAAGGAATAAGATAAATATCTGTTTTTCCATTTGCTGCTGAATGTTTTCGAATCGTTCTTAAGTTTGGATTCTCTTCCGGCGTTATGTATCACGTTTCACGTTTCATACCCACGCGATGTATTTTTTTTTTTCCTAGTTCGCCAATCCCTTCAGGTCGGATTCAACCTGTTTCACACAACATGTTTATAAAACGAAATTTACATGATACTATCTGTCTTAAGTGCCGGCTTTGAAATGTAGAACGTCGTCCTTTCGCCTGAATTCACCTATTGTTGGCAGTGTTTGGCGATATAAAGAAATAAATATGCCGGCTTCAGAGGTCGTCAAAAAAAAAAAAAAAAACATTCGAAATCCACTCCATCGTTTAACGTTTTCATTTTTCTAAAATAATGATTATTTTGTGCATTAGTATTTTAATTATATGCATGATGAAGCTATTACTTTGATAGAAAATTCTTTGAAATAAATTAAGGTTTTTTGAGTTATGTAGCACAACTTGCATACTGATGATAAATGATTGGCATACTAAACCCTTTTTTAACGCTTTTTAAATGTAAAATAAGCAATTATCTAGTTTCAGTTCATTGCGTTTAGATGAATGTAGCGTTGCTAAAATGTGGCAATGACAGAAATTTCGTATATGAGTTTTGTTGTGGGGAATAAAGAAATTCAGATTAACTGTTCTTTCACTCTTTGAAATATAGTTATGCAATAGGCATTTTTAAGGCGATGGAAAATGATTGAAAATATATTATTCAGACAAATATTAGAGGTTGAGTATTTAGAATTAATTAGAATTTTTTGAAACATTTTTTCACTTTTTATCGACGGATTCAAAATTTATGTTTTTAGAACTACATTTTATATAGCAGTTTAGAACATATTCGTAGTAGCAAATAATGAAGTTTTATTTAATTAACTGAGTGTGCAAAAATCATTTTATTTTATTAGATTGTTCGTTTGTTTTTTAAATTTGCTTACCTATTTTTCAATGAATGGTCAAAAGTAGCCAACATTTCATTAACTTTACACACATTTTATTTATTTTATCAAAAAAAAAGCAAAAAAAGAGGGAAAAGAAAACTGAATTTTACGCAAAACGAGTGACACTTAAAAAAAATCCCCCCAACTCATTCAACTGTCTATAGATTCCGTCATTTTCTATCATTTTCTCATATCACCGAGGGGCTTTATTAAGGAGTTTGTAACGTTCATTCCATAGATTTACAAAGAAAGTAGCGTAAAAGAATGAAAAATAAAATTTAAAAAAAAACAACAATCTTTGATATCCATTATGTTTGGTTTCATGCGATAGTTTTAATGAAACAAGAAAATTTTATGTGTGTATAAGAATTTTAGTTTAAACAACTTTATTTAAAATATAAATTGATCATAATTTCTGATACTGATCTCTTGCCATGAAGATTAACATTATCTTTTTTATCGATAATATTCCAGGATATAATTTGCATAATAGCATGAAAATATAATTTGTATAATAAGCACACCGGGCAAAAAATTAGTCACCCTTAGGGAAATCTTGAAAAATATCATTTAATGCGCGTAACATCGCTTTCAGATTTGATAACCGCCTGGATTCGGTTAGGAAGTGAGTCCACAAGGTTTCGCAGGTACGTCGAATCCAGTTTACACCACTCGTTGATGATTTGATTGAGCAAATTCAACAAATTGCGAGGATGCTGATTTCGGCATTTTACGCGTTGTTCCAACATGTCCCACAAATTTTCAATGAGATTCAAGCCAAGTGATTAAATATTTTTAAATGAATGGTCAAAAGTAGCCCGCATTTCATTAACTTTACACACTTTTTATTTATTTCATCAAGAAAAAGCAAAAAGGAAAAGATAACTGAATTTTACAAAAAACGAGTGACACTTAAGAAAAATCCCCCCAACTCATTCAACTGTCTATAGATTCCATCATTTTCTATCATTTTCTCATATCACCGAGGGGCTTTATTAAGCAGCTGAGATGAAATTGAGTGTCTGAGTGTTCATAAAACCAGTCACATATTCTTCCAGTCCCATGAACTTGCTGTTGTCATTTTGAAAAATAGGGGTGTCGACAACAGACTCTTCATGAAGATGTTGACTGAGAGGCAACATCTAACTGTCCAGAACGTTCACATAAATATGTTGGATCATGTTAGCGGCCACCTCAGTGAGGGAGCCCTATCCATAATAATCCCCAAAAGATGGCAGATCCACCTCCTGCTTGAACTTGAGCTTGCACAGTTTCAGGATGAAATGCTTCATCTGCTCTTCGTTGCACTCGACGACGTGCGTCTTTTGAATAAAGGCAAAAACGTGATTCGTCAGACCATATTGCACTCCCCAGTCAGAAACTGTCTAGTTTTGGTGAATTCTAGCCCAGTGAAGTCACGCAGCTTTAAGTGCCCGTGTGAGCAATGGCCTTTTAAGAGATGTACAACTCCGAATGTTCATTGCATGCAGCTACCTTCGCAATGTTTTCTCACTAACAAGTTGGGATGGATCTTCATTTACTAACTGAAGCATTTCCTGTACAGTTTGGAAGTGATTTTGATTGACAAGTCGTGAAAAATGTCTCCGGTCACTTTCATGCAGGATCGTTTATCGACCACAATTCTGACAGCGTCTTTCGTGACCACGTGTCACGAGACCACTGCTTGTTGACACGTTGAACAGTCCGCTTTGAAACGCCAACAAATCCAGCAACTTCATTCACCATATGACCCTTGGCACGGCCAAACACAATTGTCCCTTTTTGCCACTCTATCACATCTTTACTCTTACCCATATTTACGCAAATTTACGTTTTAAATAAAAGTATCTTCCTGATAGCTACTTGTCTTTGATCACATTGAAGCAGTGTGCATGCAGCTGAGCACGTCACTTGACCACTGCGTCATCTAACTAAACCTAAATATTCTTCGGTGTTTGCGCACTAGGGTGACTAATTTTTTGTCCGGTGAGCTTAGTATACAAATTATATCTTGAAGAACTTTGTATAATAAAGAATCTAATTCTCGACTGATTTATGTAAATAGAGAGAAGTTGGAATGATATAAAAACAAAATAGTTGCTTAATGATCATCGCAAAGGATATATGGCGACGACTAGGACCGAACCTCAGAACTGTTAGTATTTAAATAAGTGCTTTATTTTTACGCTAAATTTTGTTTGTTAACCTCGCACGACTGCTTCGATTTGGGAGGCTTTCATTATAAACCTCCTGGAAGTTTTAGTGCTTTATCAAGAATTTAAAAAATTTCCAATGATTAACTATTTGAAATTTGGATTAATGATTTAATATTTCCATCTCATTTATAAGTTCCATCTAAAATTTTTATTATTTAGGACATAGACAAATAGTATGATAAAAAAGCTAGAGTTTATTTTAGTCATATTTAAATTTTTCATTATACCTTAATTGTTAAAATGTCAGTCAGTTTTAATAATAACTAGAATTTAAATAAAAACTAGATTTATAATAATTAAAAATGTGAACATTTTAACATTAAGCTATTATGCTATTTTTAAATCAATCTTAACCACAATCGTCGTAAATCGAGATAAAACTAGATTTTTATACAACAAAAAAAAAAATCTAAAACAGTAATGATTTAATGCTTCTCTTCATTGAACTAATAAATATTAGTGAATTAGCTTTAAAATCTATTTAATGATTATATGGAATTTAAATGTTTTTTTTACATGTGTCAAAAAATTGTTATTTTCTATGTTTTGCCCAACATAAATAAAGTTTAATTATGAAGATAATTTTAAAGAGTTACAAATGCATTAGAAATTTGCGCATTGCAATTAATATTCTTTTGCGTATTTTAGGTAATTCGCCAGGCTGCTCGTCAAGCACATGCTTTTTATTTCTTGACTTATCGAATGGACGTCTGCGTACCTTCTACATGTACGCAGCAAGACGTAGACAACATGGCGCAATTTGGTAAGATTCCACAACTTTTATTAAATTCTCAACAAATATCCTAAAATCAATAAACAATTACAATGAAACAAGCAATAATTTAAATTCAATTACTTGATTATTCAAAAGTATTAACCAAAATTAAATAATTTATGTTTCCCGAAATGTAAATCGGATATAAACAGTCGGTATACCAAAAGCGCCAGGAGTGTTTTGTTTATCATTGCTTGGGTGGTGATAGTTACGTTAACGGGCGAAAGGGCGGTGATAGTTACGTTAACGGGCGAAAGGGCGGTGATCGCATAAACGGCTACGTGAATGCAGTGCAAGACGAGTTGAAGCACTCGAGATTCATCTTCATTTAAATTCTTTCGGATTCTTTATTTCAGCTTCATTCATATTTTTTCAATTTTACACCAATGTCTCCATTTTATTTTATATTGTAACCGGCTTTGAACAGCCGACACAACTGCAAGTTTACAACCATCAATGCTTAACTCTATAGCCTTATAATTTTGAATCCACCCCAAGAAAACAAAGGCACTCCTGGCTCAAGCACTGGAACAAACTTTCCTTCGTGAAGGACTTTTTTGATGGAATTAACCCGCATTTGCATTACTCAGAGATGAAAACCTCCCACGGTTATCCCGATGGCAAGGGTTAACCCATGATCTGTTAACCCACGGTTAACCCATGATCTGTCTACCACTGGTATTTTGCGAGATATTTTGCGTATCTGATATTTTACGCAATCTGATATTACATTGATATTTTACGTTTATGCTACATGATGTTTTACGTCAGAACTGTGAGTTGTGAGTAGAATTCGTATCAAGCAGCCACTACTGGTGTTCGAACCAAGGTTACTTCATTGGGAGGCAAACGGTATAACGTCTAAGCCAACGCAGCCTTCCTATGTCTTTATTGTTATGAATGCTATAGGTCCTATGAAGCGGTAATAGTCTTTTGAGAATAACACAACAAATAATTTACTTACATTACTAAAAGAAAACAAATTTTTTAAAATTCTAAATCGATAAAACTTTTTTGAAAAAAAAAAAACGCGCTTGTAAGCAGCAGAAATTTCAAAAAAGGAAAAATGTAGCAATAAAGGAAATGAAGGAAATAAAAATAATAATATGACCACCGAAGTCGACCTCTTCAGGGGGTACCGGCCCCGGTAGCCATAAAACAAAACCTTTTCTATTGAGGGAGAGGCAACTGTCTAAAGTAACTCCTTCAGTACCCCGAAGGTTTTGTATAGAAGTCCAGGAAAAAACATGAAATACATAGAACCAATTTAGAAATTTTTTTTCTTTCAATCTGACCATTGTAATAGAGGGCGCTGTTTTCTTTAGTTTTAAGTGTTTCCTTTTCATTCGGTTTGCTTATGAAATCGCTGTTTGACCTGGTTAAAGTGAGTTTTTATTTTCTGATGGTTTTGTTTGAGTTTATTTTCTAAATTGGTTCTATGTATATTTCATGTTTTTTCCTGGACTTCTATACAAAACCTTGGGGGTACTGAGGGAGTTACTTTAGGCATTTGCCTCTCCCTCAATAAAAAGGGTTTTGTTTTATCACTACCGGGACCGGTAGCCCCTGAAAACGTTGGCTTCGGTGGTCATATTTTTATTTTTATTTCTTTCGTTTTCTTTATTGCTTCATAATTTACGTACATGTTAGTTACCTCTAAAATGTTTGACATGAAGCAATGAAGAGTGGCACATTTATAACGTGTTGAGAAAAAAAAATCTTGGAACTTCTTTTCATTACAGAGTAAACTGCTCATGTCCAATTCATATCTTACTAAATACAAGTTAATTAAGTTATGAATAATCCTGTGTATCTTGTCATGTATTTCAGCAATGATATTACTCACAACTCTAATTTGGGATAGCATAATTTTCCTCTCATTTTTTCCTTTACTTTTTTATAGCATTAATTATATTTTAAAGAGAGATAAGCTTTGAAATATAAGATACATATTTTAACGAACATAATCCCGTTTTTTTGTGACAGTGATTATAGAAGAAACTTGAAATGCTTATATATATAGAGAGAGAGATAAAAGAAAAAAATAAATATTGCTTTATTATTTTATTATTAAGTTTCAGAAATGATAACTTCGAGTCGGTATATTTAGTTTTTACATCAAAATGGTGCACAGTATTTTTATCATTATTACATTTAATATATTTTAAAGAACAATGGGATTTTCTAGATTAGTGATAATTTATTTTGAAGAAGCCGTTTACTATGGCAATAAAAATCGATACTATGACAATAAAAAAATAAAAATTTCTATGGAAGAAAAAATTTTAAAGTTCTAATATGTATGGTAAAAAATAAATAAATATGAATTTCTTTCTTATTTTTTTTCTTTATTATATCGTCCTTTATTATTTCAGAATAGGTAACTTCAAATTGGTATATTTAATTTTTGGATAAATTGCAGCGAAACAGTGTTATTACTTATGCACGATATTTGTATTTTTATTTTCAGAAACATATTTGATACTTCTACCATTGTAATTTAAATAATGAAGTACAAGAACAATTCTTAATGCCTCATAAAAGTTTTCGTTACATCCGAAAAATTAGAAACTTGCATTTTTTTACTTCCATATTTATAACTGTTATACACAACGTTTTTAATCTTGTTTATTTCGACAAAAATCGCAAAAAATGTAATTTAAAAAGAACCGTAGCTTGGGAGGTGAAACCGATTGCAGGTTTTAAATTAAGGACGTGAAAATATCCGACATCCCTTAAAAAAAAAATTCTTCAGGAAAATTTTTTTTTCTCAGTGTAATCAACAATGTATATATATTTTTAAATACGATATTAAAATTTGTTTCTTTTAATATTTTACTTAATTGAGTTGTGTGTTTGCGTAATAAAAATGTAATATCTTCATACAAAGCATATTGGGACAAGCATGTTACTTTTTTCTTTTAGCTGCAAAATACATCGATATAGAGGTAGCCGTTCCCAGGTGCAGCGTGAAGGAGAACTTACAATTTGACAAAAGTCAAGTCATCTACATGTAAGTATAAAACGAATAAGGTTTGTGCTCACATTTAAAACGTAATTTTAAATTAAATTATTTTTAGTTCTGACAAATGCAAGCTTTTTTAATTTTTTAGCTTTGTAAAACGGTTAGAATTTAGTTAAAACAGATGTGTTTTTCGCAATTTTCGCTTATCTACTGACTACTACTACTACAACAACTATAGCACGAAAAAGACGATTTAATTAGCATTATTTTCAGATGTCTTTTTCGCAATTTTCACTTGCGTACCGAGTACTTCTACTACCACTACTACTACTATAGCACAGAAAAATCGATTTTAGTTAGCATTATTTACAGATTTTTTTTCGCAATTTTCGCTTACCTACTGACTATTTCTTCTGTTATGACTTAAATAAAAGTTTAAATTTTTTTTGCTAAATTTTTTTTTTTGCTAACTGTAAAATATACGGCCACATTAAAAACCATCCATTTATATTTTACTTAAAATTTTAATTCGAAACAAATGCTTATATTTCTTTTTCTTCTAGTTGCATTGTTGGAATACTGTTAACTTTGGTCGTTGTAGGAACAGTCTTAGATTCTTTTAGAGAAATTTTTCACAAAACTAAAGCAGTTGTTCAATGTCTCAGCAGTAAGTGTTTAAATATTAGTTTTTTTTAAAAGAATTGATTTGCACTATGTCTTCTTTAAATAAACTTCAAGCTGTGTTGTTTATAGCTGTATTCTTCTGTAAAGAAAGATATTCAAAAACGTTAGTAACTTTTATAAAAAACATTTGAAAAGTTTCCTTTGAATATTACATAACACGTTGATTTCTTTATAACCAGAGTTATTTAATTAACAAACGACATTTAAACGGAAAAAGTAATGCTTAAAAGATTGGCTAATTAGCGAAATTATATTGTCCAACTTTATACTTTTTCTTAAATACTAAAACACGATAATATACATTATGTATTTTGGGAAGCAAATTATTCAGCACTTATGATTAACACTCAATTTAGTAGAGGATATACACTTTCAAAAATAAAACTCTCACTTCTGATGATTCAGCAATCCCTGAGGTGTATTTTCGTTCATTTTAAAAATCATTTCGTCATGAAATTACTTGATTTGTGACGAAGCACAAACTCTCAAATATATGGTGAAAAAGTTTTTTCTACTCGGAGCTTCATCGCAGTGCATTGTGGGAGATTTTAATTAGAACGAAGACTAGATGATCGAAACTAGGATGAATAAATTGGACAGAATGGCATGTCAAGGAACTAGCCTCATATAAGGAATACACCGGTTATCTAATCCCGCTCCTTTACCGGCATGGATGAAATTTATTTCTTGGCTCTATTTGTCCATCTTGTAGTGTTGGGATGACGTTGATCTAATTATATGGTGCCCATGAAAAATGATTAACAATACCACCCGTATAATACTATTATTATTATTTTTTGGAATAAATAAAGGAATGATAAAATATTTCTTTATTTTTGACGAAACTCGTTTCTTCGAAGAACTGACGATAATTATTTCGTCACTTTGATGAAATGTTTGGAGCATATACACCGAAAAGCCATTACATTATGACCACCCTCCTTCTATAACAATGGGCTCACCCAGGTTTTCATGATTTCTCGCCCAGAAACAATGATTCCATGGGGCACACTAGGACCCATAAGCCTCATAGAACAATCCCTGACGTATGTAAGCTACTTGAACATAATTGCAGACCAGGTTCACCCATTCATGGCAACAGTTTTTCCTGCGGGGGATGGTGTTTACCAACAGGATAATGCACCATGTCATAAGGGTCGAATCGTCATGGACTAGTTCGAGGAACATTCCAGTGACTTTCAAGTCATGTCTTGACCCCCAAATTCACCTGACCTTAATCCAATGGAGCATTTGTGGTCCTACTTGGAAAACCAAATTCATGCTGCCACGCTACCCCCTCGCAATGTGAGGGAATTGCAGGACCAGTTAGTGAGCGCTTGGTACCAGATACCTCAGACTACCTATCAGCACCTTGTGGAATCAATGCCACGGCGGGTGCTAGCAGTTTTGAAGGCTAAAGGTGGTCCTACAAGTTATAAGCTGGGTGGTCATAATGTAATGGCTCTTCGGTGTAGTAGGAAACTGTTTTATTGAAAACGATGAGAGTTTCGTGAAATTTGAGCATCCATTTCTTGTACTTTGATAATGATGAAAGAAAGAAAAAGAAAGTTTGATAATATATTGAATTTCTTACGGCTAGGTAACACAATCCTTTCGATCTTCAAAAAAATTCACAAAGTAATGATTCATAACATCTGAACAGTCAAAGGACGGTACAATTATATTCTTTCATTATATTACTGGGATTTATATCGTTTTGGACGCATTCACATGTAGCATGACTTTAAATTCACTTTAAATGCTGTCATGGGAAGTGTTTTATAAGTATTACGCAATCTGTGATACACTTCTCTGGCCTTGATATTTGAATCGGAAAGGTGGCGCTGCTATCACTACTGTTCTTATGAAATTATCATACGGGTTCACATTATTTTTGGACTGCCCTGATATTTTTAGCATATTAATGTAACCATCATCCGAATTAAAAATGTTTGAATAATAATTCATTTTTGTTTTTCAAATTTTTTCAAAATTTTATACCATGCTTTACTTTAAGATCTAAAGTAAATATCATTCAAATTTTGGATAGCTGATATGATATTATTACATCACTAAGGGATTTGTGTGCCATTCCTAATTTTATTTAGTAATAAAAAACTCGGTTTTAGTTTGTAAATTAGACATTTTTTCTGTTTATAGCATTTTCTTTTAATGAAATTATGGTATTTTGAGTTATTAACCTTTGACATTTTATTTTAGGCTGAATGAAACTATTTAACTTAATGTTAATTAATCGAATGAATATTATATAAGCTATTTTACTTTCTTTTACTAAATGTAAAAGTTTATTTATCTTATATTCCTTTAAAAATATATATATATATGTTATGAAAATAGAAATTTAAAAATATTTTTTTTCGTTTTCGTACACTGTAAAAAATTCCGGATCAAATTCCTGTAAAAAGTACCGGCACTCAGGGGGGCGGTACTTTCTATTGTAATTTGATCCACTTTTACCGAAACATGTTACAGAACAAAAAATATGATCTACCGTAATTTTAGCACTAATAAGTACAATTATATTTATGAATCACTCTAACTCAGTAATTATTAATGCAAGAATTACAGCATAATATTTTGCGGTAAAAGTAAATTCTACGCTAAAATGGATTTTACCCCACCGGCGCTTTATACCGTAATTTAATCTGGAAATCTTTTAGTGTACCTCTAAAATTCTATTTGTTACAGAATCTGATATAAGGCTTAACTAATACGCTTAATACAAAATAAATAAAATAAAAATCGTGAAAAAACATAGTTTTGCTGAAATATTTCTTAGTACATTCAAGGAATCCTTAAATCCCATTTAATGTGCATTCACACATTATCCTGAAAAAAAAACAAAAAAAGAAACCGGAAGCCTTGCAGTCCTCTTATGACGCCATCGCAGCTCAAATTAGTGTATATCAATGCATTCATATCATCAGGAGGAAGTTATAATCCCCCCCCCTTATTGTACTGCCATCTGGTGATAATAGAGCAGAGGTCGCCAAAGTGGTCTATATAGACCCCCAGGGGTCTATTTAACAAAAGCGGGGGTCGATCTGAGCCAGGGGGTCAAATGGGGGTCGATCCGAATCGGAAGGGTCGATTGGGGGTTGAAGAAAAAACAGTTCTTAATACGCAAATTATACATACCTAATTAAGTAGGTATAATGTGTGAATTTTTTTAGAATTGACTTAATATCAGACATCATTTATAACAAACAAATTAAACGATTCCTATGTGTCTTCTATGCGAAAAAACTTTTGGAATTGACTACATGAAACCGTCAAAATTGAAAGATCATCTTGATAGGGTTCACTCAGATAAAAAAATAAAATAAAATAATGAACTTGAATTTTTCAAAAAACTTAAGGAAAAATTCACATGTCAACCAACTATAAGAAGTTTTATGAAGCAGTCTACAGAAGTTGAAACTGAAGGAGGATCAATAGCTTCGTACAAGATTTCGCCTAATATAGCAAAGAGGGGGAAAACCACACGCAATCGCTGAAGACATTGCTATACCTGCAATTAAAGACGTCATTGAGAATGTAATGAAAAAAGACTCCGTTAATGTTTTAAAATCATTGACATTAAGTGCAAATTCTGTAAAACGGCGTATTGACGAAATGACTGAAGAAGTAGAAAATACGGTAGTTTCAGAGCTAAAAAAATTGCAAGTTCTGTATTCAACTTGATGAATCTGTTTTTGGCGTTTCTGCTATTCTTATGGTGCACGTTAGATATTTCAGTAAAATGAAAGGACAAGTCATTGATGAATTTTTATTTGCTAAATATCTTGAAACTGATGGAAAAGGAGAGACAATTTTTGGTTTTCAAGAATATTTAAATATATTATGATATTCCACTTGAAAATATAATAGCGGTAGCCACAGACGGGGCACCTGCTATGGTAGGGGTTTTGCTAGATTTCTCAAAGAAAAAGTGCCCGGTATACGTACTATTCATTGTGTGTTGCATAGAAACAACTTAGTAGCAAAATATCTGAGTCCAGAGTTACATAAAGCTTTGCAGTTTTGTATTAAGTGTATCAATCAAATTAAAGCCCAACCTCTTAAATCAAGATTATTTTCCAAACTTTGTGAAGAAAACAACGAGTTATTTAACCAATTACTTCTGCACACAGAAGTTATATGGTGGTCTAGATGTGTATGCTTGCAAAGACTCATAGAGTTATTTGACTCCACGACCGAATTTCTCAGGGAAATAAACCCTGTTCTGAGTGATGAACTCCAAAACAATAAGAACCGTATTTTTTATTTAGCAGACTTATTTGGAAAATTTAATGATGTCCAAACAAAGCTGAAAGGAAAAGATGTAAAAATTATAGAAGTTCAAACAATGCTGCTAGGCTTCCAAGTAAAATTAAATTTATTTAGATCTTCATTGCTACGTAAGGATTATCAGTATTTTTAAAAATTTGCGACAGTCAGAAATAAAATAAGAAGACTTGGAAATATATACAGGTCACCTTCAAAAATTGAGCGATGATTTTAAACTGCGCTTTGCTGATTGGGAAAACATTGACATCCCTGATTGGATTATTAAGCCATTTTCTGCTCAAATTGAAAATATGGACATCGACCTGCAAGATGAGCTTGCTGAATTATTTTAGGATCTTGAAGCGAAGGCGTTTTTCAAAAATTTAACAATAGACAAATTTTGGACAAATATAAATATAATGCAGAAATATGTAAAACTTTACGAAATAGCTCAGCCATTTATGCTAGCATTTCCAAGTTCTAGTATGGTCAAAGCCGGATTCAGTCATGTAAATTCAATATCAACTAAGTACAGAAATAAATTGATTGTGGAGTTTTGAGGGGATTAAAATTGACCAATTTTTAACCCAATATAGCGAACCTTGCAAAAAAAAAAAAAAAAAAAAAAAAAAAAAACACCAGGTACACCCATCTCATTAATTAAGAAGCAATAAATCTGTAGCTACTTTACTTATTATTTCTACTTATTTATAATTACTTATTATTTAATAAATATTAAGGTATTTAAACTTCAACATTAATATATTTTTCATAAAACTATTGTTACACAATGTACTATTACTTTAATAAATGTTTAAAATCATAAAATAAATGTACAAACGCAGTATCTAATAGAGTTTTATTTTAATTAACAGAAAATTACTTTTATGGGGGTCGATGGAGATTTCGAAAAATTATATAGGGGTCGATGATCAAAAAAGTTTGGCGACCCCTGTAATAGAGAGAACCTCGGTCAGGAATAAGGCGAATAAATGTTTCATGAAGTAAACATGAGCACATAAAATGTAAAATTCCAAAATGTGTACACTAGACACATTCAGACATAATTTTTTATGCTTTTCAGCTGCAATTTCTAGATTCCTTTTGTCTTTTTCACTGAGCACAAATGCGAATCTATTGTTTAACACTGATACATCCCACAATGGTTTGGATTCACTACATGGTATGAAATTCTTTGGAATGGGATGGTTAGTACTTGGACATACCTATTTCAACAGCAATGTTCAAGTCTATGGTAAATATAAAACTATTTTCAATTATATCAATACAGGCATAACTAGGAATTATTTGACACTAAAATGTTTTATACTTTGACAAAGTTTTATGTCAAGGTTAAGCAGTTAATGCAATAATTAATGTATTCATATAACTATGAATGATATTTAAAAAGATTTAGTTTGTTCAAGAACTCCTAATCTGGTTCTTAATGAATAAACTTTTAAGTGCTACTAATTTAAATAAAAATAGGATATACTTTTTCGCAAATAAAGTTTTTTTGTATACTCAAATTCATATATTAAAAAAAAATATCGAATGTTTGAAAAAATAATTTATTATTTTTTCTATTAGTGAACTATTCTAATAAGATGTTTAAAATATATATTTACGATTATAGTATGATAAATTAGTAAATTGAGGAAAAAAAGTATGGTCGAAACTACCAGAATATGGTAAAATTTACTGAGCTTCTGGCTGTATGGGAACATGAGAAAACAATTTAATTTTTAACGACGCACTTTGTCAATGACTTTGATAAATTAACAAGAAAACATAGTTTTATAATTTGTGATAAAATTTGGTAAATGTAGTAAACTTTAGAGCTTTTATCACTATAACTTAAAGATTGGCATAAAAACCATTTATTTGGCTAAATTTACTTTTCAGTCTTGTATTTTTACTAAATATGTGGTAATAAGAACTATAAATTTAAGAAAAACAATTAATTTTTCCGTTACCATATGAAAAGAAAAATTACCATTTTTTTAAACCAGAAACCTCATTGACATATTTTACGTAAATTTAGTTTAATTTTTTCCGTGTTATATTCACGATTTTATTGTGATAAATAAGAACCTGAAAATAAACTTAATTTTTGTGACTTATTTCTTAAATATTTTTGCGTATTTCAAATAATTAGTTTCAATAATCATTTTTTATTTCAGGAAACTTAACAGAAGCTTCAGCTTTTGCCGAAGGTTTCTTTTTTCAAATTATTGTCAATTCAACCGTCTCCATTGACACATTTTTCTTCATAAGGTATGCATACGTACATGCATTTTTTATTCATTCAAGTTGCTCTAAATTGATTAAGGTTATAAAAAATTTAAACGTGCGTGTTAAATCAAAACACTTTTTAATAATTTGGCTGTGCATTTTTCGCACATTAATCCAAAACCCAGAAAGGTGGCACTGTCATCGATGCTCTGACGCTATCATGCTTTCCTTCCTTTTATTTGGGAAAACTGGATATAAATTTAATGAACATAAATTTATCTAAAATATTTCCTAAAGTTTAACTTAAGACTTTGTTCCAAAGTTTGAAAAGTAAAATTTGATTAAATAATTTATAAGACTATCTGTTGCCAGCTAGGATTTCCATTTTAACTACATTCAAGAGATGTCCGCGGTATTGTTAAAGCTCTTTATGTATTGAGTTTTAGTAAAAATTTAAAACTTTCCGACAGCCATTAAATCACATAAGCCACAATAAATATCAGTTTGGAACATTTCAGCATTATAGGAAGCAGAAATATTAAAATTATTTCCATCTCTGTCATGAAACACTGTAGAAAATTCATCCCAATGTACTACTATGCCATCACTCACCGCTAGAGCTATAACCTGAATATCGTATAATATATATGCTATTGCTCGAAAAGGTAAGAATCATTAATAATTGGTTTGGCAGTATGTTTGACCATTGTACCTTTAATGTTTAATTTTTTGTTTAGAAAGGATTAAAAATAAATCAAAATAATTTCCTCATAACTAAGTTTTTATTTTTATAAAAATAAAAAAATATTCTAAACAAATAATTAACATATAACTAACAATTCTACTTAAATTAAGAATTCAATTTAACAATTCAACTTAAATTATTGAAGTGAAACTTCTAATGCGACTTCCAACATGGTTTCGTTAAACGTTTAACGCTACCATGGTAACTCTTGCCTGTGATCCTTGCAGGAGATTTTAATGTGAATTTCACGTTATCTGAAGCTGAAACATTATTAACCTTCCTTACAGACAAATTTGTATTAGAAATGATAAATGGTAGGAATGATCCAACAACCAAAGGGGGAACTACCATTGATGCAGTTTTTGCAAGAAATATTGAAAAAATAGAACTCAAACATTTCGTATCTTACTTTAGTTATCATAATCCCATTGTAAATGTTATAGATTTGGATATTTCTCCACTCGAAAATGATAATTAAAAGATGCGATCAATTGTGAATTGTAAGCAATGTTAATAAAGTTTGTATTAAAGAAACAATATGATTTCACTAAAAATCAATTTCTACTCCTTCCTATTTTCATTTCCACATTACGAAGTTTCACTTCTTCCGCTCGGAAGGACTCCACGTACTATTTTTTTAACTTAAGACAACCTAACAAAATTAATTCAAAGCAATACTTTGAATTAAATTAGTAATTAACACTGCTTAAACTATTACTTAAAGGTCTGGTTTCTTATGACAAGCGCCTTATCTGGGCGTCAGCGGGACGTCAACGTCCCACTGACGCCAACAAAATACTGGTTTGTTAGCTCAAGGCCTGGTTTCTTCCTGGTCCTTAGCGCCTTATCTGGGCGTCAGCGGAAAGTTGACGTATAGCTAACGACAAAAAAATACTTTTTTGCTAGCTCAGCGTGAGCAGTCGGTCCAACGCAGACATTATCTCTCATTGCGCATGCGTTAATAACGTAAACAAATATATATTTTGAATTTGTATTGATTTTGTTGTTGTCGACCAGTGTAGAGAACAAATAATGACTTTGTCCAAGAAAAAACACATTGTAGCTGAGCTAAATGAAGAGTGCTATGTTTAATGAAGAAGCTATGTTTAATGTCAAAATCAAAATCTTGGCTGATTTCAATGTGCTGTTGGATGTTGTCCGCCATTGCTTCTGTGACTAACGTCACGTTGTAATCCAACTGCAGTTGAGTTGGACGGCAATTGTAGTTCAAGATGAGCTCTCGATGACGTATACTATCAAACTCACAAATGAACCAATCAGAGGTTAGCCCTGATTTCCAGCTGACGGCGTCCTGTCTTAAGAAATCAGGCCTTAAGGCTGCCTAACAAAAATTTTCTAAATAAATACTTTATGTATAAGTGTCTTATTATATAACACTACTTAAATTATTACTTACGACAACCTAACAAAATGAAATATAATTATAGTGCTGCCATTTAGATAGAGAAATACTTGCGTTTTTGGTGCCCCATAACAAAAATAAATACATAAATTACATATATTTTAAACAATGATTTACATAATACTCATTGGTTTAATTTTACAGCGCTGTTCTATTATCTTACGTGACCTTACAGAGTACAAGTAAGCATGGTTATTATAGTATGCCGCGGCTATTTTTCAGAAGAATCGCCAGGTAATGTGCTATTTATTATATACTCATTTTTATAATATTTTCTCACAATATTTTTCATAATATATTTTATTTCATTTTTAATTTATATAAAAATAAAATCATATTAGATATTTAATTCGATATTAAAATATATTTATTGTTAATTTTAACTTTTATCACAAATTTTTCGCACACTTTAAAGAAACTAATGAATAACTTTTTACGTAACCAGCCTATTTTCTCGCATCTATTTTAAAGACATCATAAGTTCATAAATTGGCTACAGCTTCAAAAATGGCTAAAGTGATATTGTTGATAGGATTTTTTTATTTCATTTATGCCATACCTAGAAGAATGCCATTATTCACGATACATTATTTTAATATCAATTTCAAATGTTTAACAATATGAAATATTATTTATATAATTCAGTTTTGTCCTACTTTAAATGAAGCCATCATCAATGATAACATAATTTAAGCATTAAGATTACTGTTCTTGAAATATTTAATTTACAATATATTACACATAGGATAATTCCATCGTAGATAGTTATAATTCTAATGTTAAAAATGATGTTGTTGATGTGTTTTAGTTATTTCATTTACATCATACTTAGAATGATACATCATGCAATTTAAAAGTATAAATGTGGATAAAAGTTTGTAGATAAAGAAAAAGTAGAAATGTATTAAAAAGGTTTTAACTTGGGTGATATAAGCATACATGATTACATAACTCAAACGTTAAAATTACTGTTTTTAATATATTTTATTTACAATAAATTATACTTAGTATAATTCCATCATAGATGTTATAATTATAACATTAAAAATAACATTGTTGATAGATTTTAATCACTACTCCTTCACTACTACTTTAGTTACTTCATTTATGTCATACTTAGAAAGATCTAACGTACATACTACGGTGATATAAAAAGTAGAAATGTGGATAAAAGTTTGTTTATGAAACAAAAGTAGAAATGTAGAAAAAAAGTTATAACTTGGGTGATATAAGCATACATGATTACATAATTCAAACGTTAAAATATATTTAATATATTTTATTTACAATAAATTATACTTAGTATAATTCCATCATGGATGTTATAATTCTAACATTAAAAATGACATTGTTGAAAGATTTTAGTCACTACTCCTTGACTATTACTTTAGTTACTTTATTTATATCATACTTAGAATGATGCATCGTACATACTACGGTGATATAAAAAGTAGAAATGTGGATAAAAGTTTGTTGATAAAAGAAAAGTAGAAATGTAGTAAAAAAGTCATAACTTGGGTGATATAAGAATACATGATAACATAATTCAAGCGTTGAAATTAATGCTAATGATGTGTTTTAATCATTCCATTTATACCTTATTTAAGATAATTCTATCATACATGATACCTTAATACGAACGTTCATTTCATGCTAAGAATGATACCATCATACCTGATACAAGGTTCAAAACAGTAGAAATGATACACTGAGAAAAAAATATGGTAAAAACTACCAGAATACGGTAAAAATTAAAAGATTTTTGGCTCTGTAGAAACACCAAAAATCTTGATAATGTTCAAGAAGCGCTGTAATGATTTTGGTAAAATTTACAATAAAATATCGTTTTATAATAAATGATAAACATTAGTGAATGTGTTAAAATTTGGTAATTTCTTCATGGTACTTTAAAGTATGGTATAAAAACCATTTATTCGGTTAAATTTACTTTTAAGTTTTGTATTTTATACTAAAGTGTGGTAACAAGAAATATAATTTTGAGAAATCAGAATTTCTAATAAACCGTTACAAAAAAATCACCAAAGAAATTTTTTAAACCAAATATTGTTTTTTTAATCAATGTTTTGTTTTTTATTACCAGAAATATGTTTTTTCTCAGAAATATCATTACCATTACGGCAATTTTACCGGATCTGCTTTCCATGTATAATTAATAATTTATTTAAACCACTTGTGTTCTAATTAGGGTAATACCATCATATATGATGGTTGTTGGTGCTACTCTTCTTCTTCCTCATCTGGGATCTGGACCATTTTGGAATGAGACTGTGGACCCCGTAGTGAACATGTGCAAACAAAATTGGTGGACAAACTTGTTGTTTGTCAACAATTTTGTTACCACGCCAGTTCAGAGGGTATGAACTACTTTTTACATTAAATACAATATTCGTTTAATTTTGTTAAGTTTTATTATAATTTCTAATAATTATTTTAGTTGCGATTTCTATATTTAAGTACATATTTTTTCTCTATTATTGTTTGTGAAAAATGGCGTCGCAAATGGTNATTAACCCCTTCCTTCTCGCTCCCGTGAAAATGACGAGGTGAGGTTTCGCCCTCTATTTCTCGCTCCCGTCATATTTCCGGGCTGGAGTGTTCAGTAATAGCGGACCAATAAGAATAAAACTAATTCATTTCTTTTACCCGGATAACATTTTATTTCTCATTTTACACACCAGAGGGCAGTACCAGGATATTTTTAAAGTAATTGTAGATAATTAGTTTATTTTAAACTAGATGTCAGCACAAGATGTTTGGATGTCAGAAAAAAATAGGCAATTTTATGACCGTTTTCTTGAAAATTAACCGATCGTTAAGGGGTTAAAGTGTGGTATAAAAACCATTTATTCGGTTAAGCTTACTTCTGAGTTTTGTTTTTTATACTAAAAGTGTGGTAACAAGAAATATAATTTTGAAAAATCAGAATTTCTAGTACACCGTTACCAAATGAACAAAAAATATCACCTAATAAATGTTTTAAATCGTATATTATTGCTTCAATAAATTTTTGGCTTTTATTACCAGAAGCATGTTTTTTCTCAGAAATATTACCATTACGGTAATTTTACGGTAATTTTTACGATTTGCCTTCCATGGGTAATTAATAATTTATTTAACCTATTTGTGCTCTAATTAGGGTGATACCATCATACATGATGGTTGTTGGTGCTACTCTTCTTCTTCCTCATCTGGGATCTGGACCATTTTGGAATGAGACAGTGGATCCCGTAGTGAACATGTGCAAACAAAATTGGTGGACAAACTTGTTGTTTGTCAACAATTTTGTTACCACGCCAGTTCAGAGGGTATGAACTACTTTTTACATTAAATACAATATTCGTTTAATTTTGTTAAGTTTTATTATAATTTCTAATAATTATTTTAGTTGCGATTTCTATATTTAAGTACATATTTTTTCTTTATTATTGTTTGTGAAAAATGCTGTCACATATGGTGTCTCCTAGTTTCGCAAATTTGCTTGCCTTAAATGTCGTTTTAACTCCACATTAGGTTTTTTAATGCAAGGAGTACATTCCGATGAAAAAAATTAGATATTTCCAGTTGAAAATTTCGAAATTTTGTCACTGTAATTGCAATTGTAAGAGTTACATTGCAAAATATCTGGTTCAAATAACGGTAAAGAGTACATGCACTTAGTGAGCCGGTACTTTTTACCATAAAATCTATTTTTTTGAGAACATGTTACGAAACAAAAATTCTGATACACCATTTCTTTACAGTAATAATTACCCTTAAATTATACAATTACTCACTAATTGAGTAAATATTACAGTAAAAATTACGGAATAATGTTATATTAGAAAATAGATTAAGAGATAGAATGATTTTACGGATGATGCACTCAAAATGCAGATACATTTTAACGTAATTTTATCCCATATTTTTACAATGCACACAATCGTTTTTTACATCATTCTTGAGTGCATAGATCATAAGACCTATGTACAAAATCTTATTCTGCTGACATAAATGGTATACTCTACTGAGGATCATATGTAGGCAAAGCTATTTTATTATCACCCTGTACTTTTGTATAACTTCTGTTGCAACTCTTTGCTTTTAAAAGTACAACTTTAAATGAAATTTATTAATTTAAAGAGAAAGCAAATAGTGGGAAGACAAAGTGGTGTTAAGAAACATTCAAAATCGCGTTTATAAATAAATAAAGTAGCGAATAAAATATTTGGCAAGTTAGCAAGATACGTAAGTTCAACAGATATTGTAATACTAATTTAATTTAATATTCTTATAAATAAATAGTTGCAGTTATAAATACAGACTAACAATTAATCATCAACAATAATATAAATTTTTAATAACTTATGTTTTTATTTTAATGATTATATTTTTCTGTAATTTTGACGCAAAATATAAAACTACAAATAATATTAGGTTTATTGAACTTTAATGTGGTGGTGGTACTTATTCCTCTTGGCCAGGAGACCGTTCACCGACAGAAAATCGAACACCATCTGCGGATCCTCCAAAATAAAATTTTTCTCCAGTCCCATACAGGTCAGCAAATGATCAGGTGAAGCCTGGTGAGCACTACATTTTAGGCATACAGGGAACGTCTTTTGATTCTGAACAAATGTTAGTCCGCGGGTATGACCAGTGATTAGTCTTGTGATATCTGTCTGTAGTTTCCTATCACCTTTTAGCTCCAGGGCAGCCCCAGGACTATTTTGTTGATACCATTCACGACTAGGTGGAATCCTCCAAGTCCTATTATTGTCGGCCTTTATTTTTGCACAGATTTCAGAACTTTAATGTAATCATGTTTTGTGAAATAATTTTTTTTATTATTTCTAAATAGCTGAAAACGTTTTAATAATCTAAACAATTTTTTCTTTAGTGTCTTGAACACTCTTGGTATATATCCTGTGATTTTCAACTATTTGTTTTAGGATTGTTGATTTTACTGGCTTTTATCAAGTAAGTTTTCTTATTTTACGAATTACACATTTGCCATGTTTAAAACATTGTTTATATAATTTTCTTATTGAATATTTTGTGAATTCAAACTCTGTTCCTTTTTAAACATTCCTTCAATATATATATATATTCGATCATAATCTGTCGAAAAAGAGGTATGTTTAATACGATACATTTTTGTGTCTGATTTCGTAATATTTGTAATCTTGAACCAGTAAGTTCATAATGATCCAATCATTTAATCAAAAATTATTCGATTTTTTTTTGCGCACGCTGTACATATATATTTGCAACCTCTTTACTTTTGCATATTTCTCAGAACTGAGCACCTACCTACTAGAAAAAAATTTGTCACAGTGGTAACAACATTTATGTTTTGAAATACAAATAAATCTTTTATTAATCTTATCTTAATCTTTAAAATGTGTTAGTCACTATGACAAATTAATAGTTAGAACACACATGGGTAAAACCTAAGCATTGGTAGAAATTTTTTTTTATTAGAAAACTCTTTCGACTTTAATAATTATTTTCCACCCTGTTTTGAAGCATTTTCAACAACTTTGCTAGTTGGTAGTCATGTAACTAAGAAGATAAAGAAACCTTAAATTTCAATTGCGCACTGCTACTGGAAATCGGGTACAGAAACAGTTCAGTATCTTGCACTGAATCGTAACTTTGTATATTTCAGATAGACATACTGCTTCCGATTCTATAAATATTTTTAAAAAACATTGAAGAATATTATACTAAAGTTTGCAGATTTTCGGTTAATTTTCCTAACTTTATAAAATTCTATTATTATTCTAATTATTCTATTGTGAGCTGAAAGGAGAAAATGTTCGCGAACTTTTCCTGTAAAAAGCATCGTAAGAAATAACAAAATTCTCCACAAACAACGAAATGCGAAAACCAATCGAACAGGCTTATTGAAAACATTGCGAAAAGATACAACTTAATAATACAACATAAAGCAAATACATTTTAGAAGTATCAGAAAAAAAACCTAATCACTTGAAACAACCAGGATTATTTCTCACGGAATATTCCCTTTAGTAGGTAAAAACTTATTCTCTTCTCAGAATAACTGTCTTCATTTCATTTCACTCATGTTTTCTATAATTAATCGTTTGCTTTATTTTCCCAGGCGTCCCATGTTAGGATTAATCCTCAACGGAATGATAATACTCGTTTCCATGGTGATGACAGGAATTATGACTTATTACTACAAAGTTCCACCAACTTTATTAGCTAGTTTCCCTGATCCAGAGTATGTCTAATCTTGTACCTGTTATGGACTATCTTGAATGTAATTTTTATATTGCGTGTGTCATTTTTTCCTGCTTTTTTTTGGGATTTTTAAAATAAAATTACGTTAAGCTACTTAAAATAAGATCTTTAAGCAGATTGGACAACGGTGTTCTTTTTACCTATACATTTTTTTCTGACCCTCTTATTATGAGAAAAAATATATTCTAATATTTATTTTAATTATAAAAAACAGTCTAATGGTTACAAAAGAAAATTGTTTGATTATAAGGATTATATTTGTACTAAAATATAAAATCCAAAATGTAGTTTAGAAATATTTTTCACTCATATTCAAAAATTTATCAAAAATTGATTTTGTACATTAAAGAAATTTCAATGATAAATGATTTTTCCTTTTATATTTAAATAACTGCAAATAAGTGCAAATTTAAGAAATTATTGTTTAGAAGGGAGCCATGATTGGAAGATTTTAATTTTATCGCAATAAAGACATCATTGTCTCATGCTGTATTCTTTAACCATAAATTATTGAAATGGTAAATGCAATATTTTTCACTTATTATAACCTAAATTAATACGAAATGATAAAAAATATGTTTAATAAAAATTCTGTGTTCCAAGTGTTAATAGTATTTTAATAGTAATATTATTTTCACATAATTGATGTTTATTGTGTTAAATTAATTGTATTGCTTCATATTAAAGAAAAAAGTTGTGTTTTTTTTACAAAACTTTATTAATGATCAAAAGAGGTGTTTTAAATGTTTTCTTTATTGTAATCCATTCATGTAATTTAGATCACTTTTTAGCTTTTAGTGTAAAAAACATTATCTACAATTAGATATGAAGCAAACGAGTTAAAGTTGTATATTGTAAAGGAGAATATTTAAAAATAATAATGCAAATTTTTGGTTTATAAAATTATCAGATTGCATAAGTGAGCCTAATAACTTATACAGCTATAAATTACTATTATAAGATTTACAATTACAAGCTAACTTATAAGTTATCATACAATTTAATTTATTGTTTGTCAACTTATTCTTAAAAGACACGCTTATATATATATATATATATATATAATATTTTAAGAAGGGGCNTTTATATAATTTAATTTTTTATTTTGCACAATTTTGAATTTTTTTTAATGATTTAAAAGAAAAGAACACTCAGACACTATTAGAAATTATTGTTAAATACGTTATTAGAATAAATTGTCACAATGACAAATTACAGTTAAATTGTACAGACTTGATGTTAACAGAGAAATTTGCAATTAATTTATATATTAGCTAAGAATAAATTTTTATCCAAGTTGCTATGTTTTTCTAAATAATATTCATTATTTTTGTAAGGGACGCAAATATTTGAACCATATGCTTTACGCATTTTAAACTAATGATCATGATTTTTTCTGCAGGGAACGCAAATATTTGAACCACGTTGTTTTAAGTAAGCCCTATTGCCATTTGGGTCCTTATTGCGTAGGCTTAGCTACAGGTTATTTTTTCTACAGGTGCAAGGAAATTAAGTTGAAAGCGGTAAGTTTTAATGATTATTTTTTTAAACTATTGAAAAGTCAAGAGTAATAAAATTATCTCATTATAATGGCTTGTTTGTTGCCTGATCATGAGGGCGACATTTTCTTTTCCATTGATAATAAAAAAAACAGTATCACACAATTTCAAAAATTCAGAATTTTACTTAACATTGTCTTTAATAGTAGTTTTAACATTCATGACAAAAAAAAGGTCATCAAAACAAGTACCATAAAGTATAGAAAAATTTAGAAACTAAAACTTGTATAATTACAGCTAAATTATTCCAAGCTATTATTTTTATTGTGGTTCTAGTAATTTCTATTCCTTTGTGTAAGTAAAAATAGAGAAAGAGATATAAAAGCTACCCAACAAGTGTGTCAGCATTTTGCTAGAACTAAATAGAATTTTTTTATTTGAATAAAGTTCTAAAAATACATCAAACGCAGTTCAGAACAATTCAGAGTAAAACATCATGCACTGTACAAAATTATCTAATTCTTAAAGTAAATATCATATAATTTTTACAGTAATATTTATTTAATTACAGCGATGCAGTGATTTTACAGTAAATACTGTGAAAATAACGGTTTTCAGATTTTTTTTTGTTCTGCAAAATTTTATAGTAAAAGGAGGATTTAACGGTAGAAGGTACAGGTACCTCGAATTCGAGTACTTTTTTCCGTCATTTTTTACAGTGTGAGTTCTTATACTGAAAAGCAGGCGAAAATTTTATTTTTATCCTTTTTATCAATGGCTCATTTTTTAATCTGAAAACTATTTTCGTTAGAGCAAATTCAGACGATTTTTTTTTGTTTCGACAGCTGCGGTTTAATGTTTGATATTTATTCTACTGATCTTTATGCATACAATGATTGTTAAGATTCAATATTCGTAAGTTATGGTATGTCCAGGTTTAATTTTTCTTTCAATATTTGTGAAATCTTGACAGTATCATCATGTTATTGGTTGGGGCAGTACAATCTCCGTCACAGCTGCAGTTGTGTATGGAGTTCTAGAATGGAATAAAGGTAACTTGCCATCTACAGCAGCTGCCATAGCGTACGCCGCTACTCATAGAACGGCATGGGCTCTTGGATTATCTTGGATTACTGTCATATGTGTTGCTGGATATGGAGGTTTGAACTATTTAAAATCTTTTTTTTTCTTTTTTTTAACAATAGAATGCTTTTTCTGTTAGTAGAATTCAGTAAAACATCGATTATCCGTATTTCTTTCATCCGAATATCTCTATTAACGCCGGATTCCGATGTTTTTTTTCTCACTCCCCCATAGTTTCTAATTCTATAACAAAATTCAGTGATTTACTGTTTATGTTAATTTTATTTTTCACGTATTTTATCATATATCGAGAACTTTTTAAATGAATTGAAATCATTTTACACAGAATTATAAAATTCTCTAATCCAAAATTAATTGCATGCAAAAAATAATACTCATTTATTATTTAGCAGTTACTGTCATTTTTTAATAATAATTGAAAATCTTTAAGGTAAAGTAAAAAAAAAATTATGTTTATTCTGAGAAGTACGTTTTTTTGTCTGACTAAGTAACTTCAAGTATAGTCTACATTAATTTATTAGAATATTTGTTGTCACCAGTTTGAACAATTAACATACAGTCCCAGAACTTTAAAATCCGATTATTAGACCATAAGTCCTCAAGGGTGATTTGTTTACTTCTTTGAACTCTGTACATGCAATTTCTTAAAAATTACTTTCTGAAATTTTTTTACTGCTTGAAATAAGCATATTTAATCGAATAAGTCTATTTAAATTTAAGTAAAACCAAAAAACTTTTTCAACTGTTTATTTTCCAGGACTTATCAACAGAATTCTATCATGGAAAGTATTTGTACCTCTAAGTCGAGTAACCTACATTGTGTATCTGATACACCCACTGATACAATATATCTTAACAGGCTATATCCGAGAGAGACTTCAGACTAATCACATCATATTGGTATGACAACTAATTTTTTTCCCAATATTTCACGAGTTAAAAAAAATTATAAATTTTTGAAATGTGATTTAATGATATAATGCACAAGTATTATTTAGTTCAGATTAATATTTAAAGGTTAAATATCATATAATAACCAATTCTTCAACTTTAATCTGCATTTTTAAAAACTTTTTAAGGAAATATACGAATAAGGCACTATATTTTCTAAAATTGATAAAATATTTGTAAATTTTTCAGATGTATCTATTACTTGAATTGTATATATGAATTACTGGTACCAATTTATGTCATTTCGATGAACAGCACAATCAATTTCAAGATCCATTTAATTACATTAACATAAGCAATTAGAATAGAATATTACTTATCTAAAAAGTTTATTTAAAATTCTTCTAATCCATTTTTAGGCCTACTTCTTCTTCGGACATATTATGACGTCATATGCTTTATCGGCTGCCTGCTTCTTTCTTTTTGACGGACCAGTGGAAGCTCTCATGTTGTTGGTACTAGGAGAATGCACTGCACCAGCACCTGAACTGGCCAAGACAACGCTCAAACGTAAAGCATCTAATAACAACATTCTAAATGAGAAACAACGGAATTTTTAGTCCACAGTTCATCTTTATGAGATTGTGTTTAACCACCAAAAGCATTCCTTATGTGAATCAGTGAAACTCTAATACATTGTTACCAGAAATAATGAAATTGTGAAACATTCTCATTGTGAATCAATGAAACTCTAATGCATTGGTATCAGAAATGATGAAATTGTGAAGCATTCTCATCGTGAATCAATGAAACTCTTATACATTTGTACCAGAAATGATGAAATTGTGAAACATTCTCAGAGTGAATCAATGAAACTCTATTGAATTATTATCGAAAATTATGACACTTAAAATTTCTTAGTGGGAATCAGTGAAACTTTGATGAAATGGTATCAGAAATGAGGAGCTGGCAAAAAAAAAAAAACACTCAATCATAAAGCATCCAGCAAAAGCAAAGTTAATAGGAAGAAACGAGATTTTTAATCGATAGTTCATTTTATGAGACTGCGTTTCACCATCAAAAACGCATTCTCAATGAGAATCAGTAATACTTTTAATAATTGTATTCTGAAATGACGAAATCGTGAAACAATCTTCATCTGAATCAGTGAAACTTTGATGAGTCGGAATCAAAAATTATGAAGTGAACTGGCTTCAGCAACGGTGAATCATAAAATATACAAAATTAGAAGTAGACGCATTTTTTAATTGATCGTTCATTTTATAAAACTGTAAAAAAAAATTTAAAAAAAAACGTTTTAAAATATTTTCAAAGCAGTCCTAATATGATTGGGCAAATTATTGAAAAATTGGTATTGGAAAGGTGATGACATCGTGAAATATTCTTGATATGAATCAGCGAAACTTTGATAAAAACCAGATTTTAATCCTTGTGTTGTACCTGAGTTTAAGCAAAAGTCAGACTGATGATTGCATTTTTATTTATGTTTTTGCTACGTTAAGTTTAAACAACAATGAAAAAAAACTTATGACAATTGTCTCACTTGCATTTAAAATATTTATTTCACTTTTGTTTAAATGTGTTCCATTTATAACTCTCTGTTTTTGAGAAAAATTGTAGAAGCTGAATGGAAATAGCTACATAAACTTTAAATCATTTTTACGAAGTTCAAAGCAATTGAAATGTGAGCTTAATTTTTTCCACAAACTTTTCTTTGAAGTATAGATTTGATATTTTGTTACTAAACAAGAAGTTTGTAAACAACTTTTTCATCCGAGTTAAATATAATCAAATAGCTATTTTCATAATAAAAGAAAATATATTTTACTATGTCACAGGTGCCATTTTCTGATATAATATGTTAAGGTGATGACCTTTAAAAGTAAACTGTTTTTTTTTTTTTTTTTTTTTTTTTTTAATTTTTTNTTTAGTTTTTTTTTTTTTTTTTTTATTTTTTATACTTTGGAGCCTTGATTAGAAGCAAAAAGTAAGCATTAATACTAAAGAGTCATTCTCACTGAATGCGATTTACCCACCTGCGATGAGAACCTGATTGGTGAAATATATTATCTCGCAAAAATCTCACCAATTAGATTCTTCTTCTCTCTCGTCAGCATTCAGAGATCCATGAATCACGTGCAACAGTCCCTGAATTTCAATTGAGACAAGAAAAAAATGAAAATGAAAAAAAATTGATGGTTCATTTGAAACAATTACGTAGTTTTAAATATTATTTTTAGAACTATCAATCTTTGTATAGTGAATGTGCAACATAAAAAGAAAGAGAATGCCATGAACAAAAAAGAACTAAAAAATAATAATAAATTAGCGGTTGAATTGAAACAGAGAAATAAATTTCAGCATCAAATCAGAAGCTAAATTTACCATTTGTTTTCATTAATTTTTGAACTGAAATAAATTAAAGTTATGGATTATTTAAAAGATTTGAAAATAATCAAACTTTGTTTAAAGAAAAGGAATTGAATGAGTGAATACAATATTAAGTGAACAAAAGCCAACTTCTGCACATTATTTTATGAACGTAAATCTGGTTAAATTACCTAAAAGAACTCAAGTGTGGGAAATATGATAAACTTTGCAGGAAAGAAAAGAGGTGATGATTAAATAGAAATGAAAGAATAATCTCAAGTATCATTTCATGAAAAACAAGTCAAACATAATTTTTTTTAAATGTGTCCGTCAGTTTCCAAGTGTCAAAAATTAAGTTCATAGTTTTATACATTTTTATTTCCTTATTCTTCCTTTTGTTTTTCTTGTTTTTTACATTTTTGTAATTGTAGTGTTATTGTCATAGATCATAACCAAGACATTAAATTGTTTTTTATTGAGTAGTGTATTTTTCTCATTCATTGTACAAAGTATTACCATTATCACAGCCCTAAATTTATGTTTTTAAAATAGATTTTGTATTTTTTCCAAATATTCAAGATTGTAGAACCAGAGTGAGTGCTTTTTGCACATTACATATTAAAATATTTTAATAGACAGATAATACTAAAATGAACGAGCCTAGTCTATTTTTTTTATTATGAATGTGGTAAACTACATAATTATAAATATTTGTTCATATTTTTGATACATAAATAAATGAAAAATGACAAAATCTTTTGTTGAGCAGAAAGAAGAATACGCTAATTTAAAAAAAAAGAATTCGACGTTTGATGTTTCGCTAGGAACAATATTACATTGGGCTCACAATTGGCTCAATATGAATCCTATATGAACATGCACTAAAGGACCAATAGTGGGATATCTAGATTTTTTTAATATTGGTCCTATGTAGAACAAATAGTGGCTAATAGTATATAGGGTCAAAATAGGGCTTATATTAGCTGAACAATGAATATAAAATATCGGGTGAATCTGACAATTCTATATAGGGCCGATATTGATTGAAAAGAGGCTGTAGAATATCGGTTGAATCTGATAATTCTATATAGGACCATTATCGAAAAATAATGGCTCTTTGAAGCCTTTTTAATTCGTGAATATTGGTCCAATGAGTGCTAAGTCATGGATATTGGACTAATGAGTTGCCAAGATAACTAGTATTTTGCTGCTAGTATTGTCGTACTAATAAGCAATTATCCAATTTTAATACATATAGATATACTGCATTAATTAGTGGATATTTTCATTATAGAAACTATACTGAAATGCTCTTTGAAACAAAATATTTAAATAGCTTTTAACTTAAAAAGCTTTTAACTAAAAAGCTTTTAATTAATTAATTTAATTTAATTAAATTAATTATTTTTTACATTAAGCTTTCAATTACAAGTAATCAAAACTAAGAAGTTTTAAAAACAGGAAAGTAAATAAAATTTGATAACGAACCAATAGTATAAAACTTTGGAAATAATGCAAGTTATCTAAAATGCTTTTAATTAAATGAAATGCTTTTAATTAAACATAATTAAAGTGGAGAAAACTAGCCATTTTTCGAGCACTCAGAACAAGGGTACTTACAACAATATGTAAATGGTGAAATCGAACCACTTCGGAAAAAAAAAGTGTATTATTGGCAAGGAAAATAGGAAAAAGAAAATAGTAACGAAAAAACAAAATAAGAAAACTGTGGTAGCCGAAAGAAACTACGAAGGCCAAAAGTAGTAAACCAGAGCAGGATATGCGGATTGTAAGATAGGTGCGGAACTTATGATATTAACTAAGGAATCATAGAATCTGGGGAACATTTGACTGAAACAGTACGATTCAAGTGCATCAAGCTGTACTGACGTGTGAGATATAAAAAGAATTTTGGCGTTTTCGAAGTTAAATTTATGCGCAAGGTCCAAGCAATAAGCGGCAATAATTAATCGAATTCTTGACGACGATATACCTGTCATATTTCGGGAATCTAATTTTCAAAGCTCTTTTGTTTTATACAAAGTATTTTTCTGTGATCGAAATAAGTCGACTTTCGCCCACTTTAACTATGAGGAAAATGAAGCGTTCCATTAGAACACGGTTTGATTAATTGCAATTTCTTGTAATTAATGCATATTATTTATGTTAGGTTCAAATTTATCAAGTCTTTAATTATTACTAGCTGGCACATCAAAAATAAATCTTAAAAGTGCAAATTAAAATGAAAGTTCTGGTAGAGTAAAAGTTTTTTTTTTCTTTTTATTTTTAGTTTTCCAAATTTTAATCCTAGAAAAATAAGCCTGGTAATTAATTTTAAAATTCCATTCAGTAAAGATATTTTTTGCAATAATTATATATCTAGTTTTAGTTGTTTTAATTCTAAATCTAATAAATCTTGAAGTGATAGCTGTTCTTTACAAAAGCAATAAAGCTTGAGCTTTTGACTGTTAATACACCATGAAGTTTTACCATACATGTTAATTCTGCTGACACCCATGACTTTACTAATTCCATTTTCAGCGTCATACCTTACAGTTCCTTCAAATATTGCTCCTCCCGGATGTACTGTTACAGTAACGAGATAATCACCTATAACTGGAGGAGCTTCGCTCAACATAAGCGTTCGATTTTCAACTTTTACCTGTCTTATACGTCTTAAAACCAACTCATCAGCTTTCCCTAATTGGGCATCTTGAATTTCAGCAATACTAAGCCATTCACAGACTTCTGCATAAGGGCTTAAAATTTCATTTATATGATCAATAAGAGCAATTGATACTTCCTTTATTACTGGATCATCAATTGATACATTCACAAAGTTATTACATGGGCAAAAATGCTGTAAAATATGGGCATCTTTGCACGTTCTGTTTTCAGGAATTTCGTTGAAAAGACTGAGCCCAAGTGCATCACTCTTTTCTATTGGTTCTTCATTCACATGAAGTAAATGTTTCATGGTAGCATGCACATCAAATAATGTCATCAGTCTTTCTTGGTTTGTTTTTAGATTTAATTTAAAGCCAGGATGTTGATCCAAGAACCATTTTGGAAAATGCATGTACATAAATGGCATCCTCTCCTCAAACTTACCTATATAAGTTTCTCTAATTTCCCCATATCGCAATCCATGGTCACTAAATATAACTAAAGCACTAGTATTAAGTGCTCCTTCATCTTGAAGCGCTTGGAGAATTCTAGTTGTAGGTAAATCAGCATGGCTTGCACTATTTAACAAATCATGGGTGAGAATAGAAACCATACAAAACGCAAAATATGGCCTTGTGTCCATTGTTTTTATGAAATTTTTCAAGTAATCAAACATGAGATCAGTTTCTGTTTCAGAATTTAAACACGGATCAGATTCAGTTAAATTTTGTTTTAGGCGTAAGTTTTGTATCGCCATGGCGAGAGGTCTATAATAATAATCTGTTGGGGGATCGTGGAATCCTTTTTTTAAGTAGTTAAATGTGCCGGTATAAGGCCCATCTTCAGCGTAGAATGTTCTATACCCATTGCGTGCGTAATCTTTCCAAATCAGGCTAATATTATCGAAAAAGAAAGTATGCCTCATTGATTCGTTCCAATAATAATCAACAAAATTACCGGTGAGCAACGGTACTAAATTTGGAAAAGTGTTGTCACCAACCTTCGTGTACCCTTTCATTTCGAACGCTTTCATATTTTCTTCAAGGAAGGATTTCGTTTTGTTGAAATGCCTTAAAAAATTGAGCTTTGACACTGAATCTATACCTAAAAGAATAACATTCAAAGGTGTAGGGGGCTTAATTTTAGATCTTTCATCTTCAACTTTATCTTTAATCTTCACGAGGGGCATATATTGCTCGAAAGTGCTGTTATTAGAGAAAAAGCACTTTACAGCGATATATTCATAATCCATCGGTTTATCAAAAGTCATCAAACTTACTGAAGTTGTCACGTAATTATTTTCTCTTATATAACCGGGTTTTTCATACTTTCGTACAATTGCCTGATACCAACACTGAATATCATCTAGAGTTGCATTATAGTACGTTTCTAGTACAGTGGCATTAAGATGAACTATTCCGTTTGGCTCTGGTTTCATAAATAATGGTTTATCAGAGCAAATTAATGATGTATATGGCTCAATAAGTCTCATAACTGATGAGTCCCATGGATCTAGTTTAGGTATCTTACATCCTGAAGTATCTATGATCAAAGCTTTATTTTTTGTCACTGATTGCTGATTGGATAACATCTCATCTATTGAAATTCCATGAACATCGGATTCGGATTTTAAACTGGGATCATTTAAAGAACTATTTGAAGTTTCTGTTCTAATGAAATTTACTGACCTCTCGGGATCAGTTTCATCGTTTCCTTTATTTTGATTTTGCCATGCTAAATACTCGTAATAGATATCATAGATATCGATAGGTCTCATCGTTGGCACATACTGGTAGTCGTTTTCTAATGAGTAAGAAACATTTTCAGAATGAGATATTGCAGTTACGTTCATGTTTTTCTTGAGTTGTTTTGTCTCTTGTTGCTTTTGCAAAAGTGGTTTTGGCTTTTGCAATTGTTGCTTTTGTAAGAGTGCTTCAATCATAGATCTCAGTTCTGGTTTTTTAATCATATTAACATTTTTAATAGGGAGTGTTGTTTCTGGAGTTAGGGTTATCATAGGAATGTTATTATTTGAATGTTCTGATTCTTCTTCGCTATTTAAGTCAGGCTCCATATTTCTGTTGAACACATGTAGCTCATTAGATCTTGTTGAATTATTTAAAACCACTATGCTTATCACTATGAAGTACCAATTGAATAAAAGGAAAATAACTGAACTGAGAAATAAGGAGCATAAAAAACGACGTCTGTGGAAAATAACAGCCATCAGTTGTAAATGTTTGCAATCCAAAGAATCTGTGGAAGAAACAATAAATTCAATTATATAATTTTTCTTTAGATTAAGATCACTCCCAGATATAGCAGTGTAAAGGTTGATTTTATGTCCGCAACATCCTTTATCAAAAAGTCCCATAAGGAAAATTTGCTACAAGTACAAAAATGGCAATCTATGGTAACTTATATCAACCATAGAAATTTACATGGCAAGAAACCATAAACCTATGTTAATAAACGAAATTTATATTGCAAGACACCATAAGAATAAGGTTACCATAGAAATATGTATGGCAATCATGGAAAGACAATATTTTAGAGTTTTTATAATTTTTTAGCTTCTGGTACGCTTATTATTATTATTATATTGCATCTGCACATTCAAAATTTTGAGAAAGGAAAAAAAACGAGGGCCCTCCCCAACAGTTTCTGAGAAGTTAAAAACTGCCAATGTTTTGTTTAGAGTAATTTGAATTCGTTCTAACAATATTGCTTTAAAGAAAAATATAACAAGATTAAAGTAAGTATTGATTAAAGTTCTGATTAAAGTAAGTATTGATTAAAGTTCTGTGAGAAGTAAGTAGAGATAAAAGTTATGAATAAAGTAAGTATTGATTAAAGTAAGTATTAAAGCATATCGTCAGGATTGACGCTATATTGTGATTAGAAAGTCGGAGTTCGTTACCAAAGGGTAGTATTTATTCAAAAAAGTCCGTAGTTTGTCTAATTTCTTAGCTTAATTCATCGGTAGAATTAAACTACCTAAGAAAAAGTGCACCCATTAAAAAATTGCATTTTAAAATAAAGGAACTTTATCATGAGATCAGAAGTTATTCGGCATATCTTTAAAAAGTTATGACAAATTGAAAATTACAATAGTTAACAAAACACGTATTCATTTCACCGTATTATTAAATTTATGACTTACACGTGAAAAAAAAGTTAATTGCAAGAACCTTATTTCAATACAACATTTATTTCAATGAGAAAACAAAAATATTGAAAAAAAATATTATAGTAAGAAAAGATTGTTTGATAAACAAGTAGATAGCATTATTTGTGGCATAGTAAGTTTTTCGTATGGCATAATAAATTGTTAATGACATGTGAGTTTTTTTTTTAGCTTGACAATATCTGCCCTTTCTGGCATAGTAACTCTTTCTTCTTAGCATAGTAAAAAAAATGGGAATCGTTTTCTTAATCATGAATCTTGCTTTTTTTCCAGATTTTTTTTTGGGTACTTTTTAAGAGAATAAATAGTTACCAAACTTCCATCGCCCGTAGAAAAGCAAAGGTGGTAGGACGGCATCTCAATACACATTTAAAGATAAGATTAATTTTTGACATTATAAGATAAATTTTTTAATAAAATGAAAAATGAATTTTAGAATATTTACCAAATAAATCAAACTGAATGATACTTGCGTTCAATATTTTTTTTCGTAGTATAATGAAAAGTGTCATTATAAATCAGTATTTTAATTAATATATGTTAATATTTATTGTCCAATAAGGTTTAGATTGAAATTAATTTCATTTGACTTTAGATATATCTTTCTGAGTCGTGCTAAATTACTATTAAACAAGTTATAAAATTTGTCCCATAGCTCTTTCACACTAGCCCCCATGTAGTAGGGCTAATGCGAATAAAAACAGCTTTTTTTAAAAAAAAAATTGATATGGAAAAATTAACACTACCCTTGTTAATTTTTCCACACACCCCTTGTTCACACTAGCCCCCATGTAGTAGAGCTAGTGTGAACAAAAATAGCCTGTCCAAACTATTATTAAAGCAATACTTAATGAGTTAATTATATTTCAAATAGTTTTTTGACAAATTTGTAAAAAATGTCAACACTAGCTTCCCTCTCCTCTACATGTAAGAAAGTTATCAAACTAGTTACACATGCAATAAAATTAACAATAACAAATAACAATAAAAATTAAAATTATATTACCTGGAATATTATTTAGATTAACTTAAACTCTCCCGGTCACGTGGGCATTTAAATGCAAGACATTCAATTTAATTATTTCAACATTTCTTGTTTCTTTGTTTCTTACATTTACATAATTTCATCCTTACTGCTTTTTACATTAAATAAATAAACATGCTTAAAATTAATTTAATCTTTAAATAAAAATTAACAATAAAATTTTTTATTAAACTGCTCCGAGCCATTTTGTTATCTTTGAACGGATCAAACGTTTCTCAAAAAGTACACAATAATTTATTGAACCTATTTTGTTATTAACTATAAAAACATGTTATTTGTTTCACCTGTGATTGTGTCAACAGAAACATGATACACTACTTATAACACCTTTAAATATAATAATTGAACATTCTGTTTGAAGTATACTACTCATAAAAATTGTGATATTGCTCCTTAGAAAGAAACTGTTAACAGTAGACTGAATTCCGTTTTTTTTTAAAAAAATTATTATTTAATTTCTAAACTATTGGTTTTTTATAAATTCTACGGGAATCAAAATGCAAATTTATTTACTTATTCTTATTATTCTTTCAAATTATTATTATTATAATTATTATTATTATTCCTTCAAACTTTTTTTTAATATTTTAAGTAAAAATAACTTTTTTATTTATTTTCTCATTGGAATATTATGCAAATTTTCTTATTGGAATTCTTATTGGAATATTCTTATTGGAATATTATGCAAATTTTTTTTAAGAAGTAGGACGAGAACTGAACTTACGAGATTATATTCCAAACACAATATTCATGTGGAATATTATGTTTGGAATATAGTTCCACTTAAGCTTTAAAGTATTACTTAGTTTTTAAACTATTCGTTTTCGATAAACTGCGCGTGGTAAAAAATCTATTTCTTTTCTTGCTTTTTTTATTAAATTTTTTTTTCACAAACTTTCTTTATTTTTTTTCCTTACATTTTAAGCGCGAATGATTTTCATACCTTAAAATCTCATAATTTTATTCATTTAAATTATTTCAAGTCATTTTTTAAATCCTTTTCAGGAAGTAGGATCACCATTTTCACGATATTCCAAACATATTTTGTTTGAAATATAGTTTTTTAAACAGATTGTGATACCGTAAAAAAAAAATTCTCAAAATACATTTTACTCCTTTATTACCCTTTTTTTTTTAAAAAAAAAAGGCATTTAATTTTGAACTTTTGAAGTTTCATCTAAATAAAAATATAATAAGAATAAATAAGTGTAAGAATAAAAATATGCAATCATTTGTTTTGTTCAAATTTCTGACAAAGAATTTTTTTTAAAAATATTTTAAGAAAGGATAATATTTAGGTACTCTCAAGTCATTTAATAAATTCTTGCCAAGGAGAAGGGTCTCATTTTTTGTGCAAAGTATAATCCAATAGCATTATGATTTTTTTGAAACTGCTTGATTTAACCACATTTATTATTATTTTTTAGTTATTGAACTATAGAAATAACCTAAAGGAAAAAAGGGGTTTGTATGTTTGACTAGAAAATTTTCTATTTGTATTCATAATTCCTTCTTTAAGATCTACCAAGTCATTTTGTTGTCATTATTATTAATAAAGATTTCAATCAATCTCCTTTTGTTTAATTATTAAAAAAATTTTGGTTTGCATAAGACTATTATAAACAAAAGCTAAAATCCAAAAAGAATTGAGTTTGACAGATGGTCAAAGAAAATCATTAGCAGAGAATAATTGTACTAAGTTACTCTGAGCTATTTACGTTTATAAATACTGATAATGTTTTCGTATATATTCTGTAACATAGATATAAAGACAGATTATATTAGTCCTATATTAGTCCCCTTATATAGTCCCCTTATATAGTCCCCTTATATAGTCCTTATATAGTCCCCTATATTAGTCCCTGTTCTGTAATAAGCGGGTTCAAGATGTAAACGGAATTAATCGTTTGATATACTCAGCGCTAGATGGCAGCACTATCATTAATGTACTTCAATTTCTTAACTTGTTTACATATTTCAAGGGAATCGGTAGTGCTACAGTTATATAAATGTGCGTAATAAATAATTTCGAATAAAAAATCAATAATAATAATAATAATTAAGTATACATACAATAAAAGAAAAAGTTATAATAATTAAAAATTTAACCTTTGCAATTCAATAAAATCAGAAGATTATACGTAAAAAATTACCAAATAATATAAAAAATGGATTAAAAAATTTAATTTTTTTTTTAAATTTTTGTCATTTAAAATTATAGTTCCTCTGATTAATTAATTGTGATAGAGTTTAAATGATTATTGAAACTTATTACGTCAATTATATGCAGAATAAATAACATAAATTTTTATTTCAATAAGGATTTAACTGCGACTTAATTGTAAAAACTTTTTATAATTTTGTATTGACATATACAGGAGAAGAAAGCTTCATTAAAAGCGAAGCTAGTTTGAAATAATTGCATTAAAATATGGCAAAACTCTTTTTAAATAAAATTACAAAATTCGATCATCGACTCTAATTATTAATCAGATTTTTATAGCAATTCTCGGAAACACAGAATTTTTTACCCAAGTCAAAATTCTTCATGGTCCCATCAAAACATTTTGATGGTTTATGTACGTTTCAGCGCGATTCATGATGATTCAACATCATTTGATGGTCACCATCATCCAACATTTTCTATTATACTTTCATGGTTTTTGATATGCTGTAACGTATCAAGCTATATTAAGAAACAGCTCTGTTTTTTATAGAAAAAGACAATTATTTCACAACAAGAAATACAGTAACGAAATTAAAGAACCAATAACGGGTTAGTTATAATCTTGCAAAAAAAAAAAATATATAGAAAAACCCGTAACGGGTTAGAATAAACTTCAAATTCCAAAACTATAAACTATTCTCCTAAAAAAACCAACAATTCTTTGTAGTTCTAAAAATTATCTCATGCGTTTACTTTTAATTTACCTTTTTATGTGTTTAGTTTATTTTGTGCGTGCTTTTGCTAGCCCGATAATTTTTTATATTTTTAGACTTTAATACTCCTCTTTCCTTGGAAGAACTTTTCCATAGAAAACAAAGGAAAAGTTATTTATGAGTTTATTTGTGTACTTCTTTATATATATCTTTAGATTGAAACCAATGCATTATGTTACAATCAAAACATTTCACTTTTAAAACTAAATTTTCTAATTGTTCAACTAAATGCAACATAAAATTTTTAATTTAGAAGTGACATACAGTATTTAACTTTTAAACTTGAAATTACTGAAGTATTTTTATACTCTTGCACTATACATTAGTAGATAATTCACCTGTAGCTCAATTTAGATATCAAGCTAAAATATTCAAAATAAAATTAGAATGTAAATAAATACTATAATTTAACTTTACGTGTAATAAATACAAAAAATACAACTATTTACATACATTCGCGATCGCAACGAACTATAGGGGGCGTTGTTGTATGAGACGCATACCTGCGATTTCTATATGAACCGTCATTCAGTTACTCTGGAGACGTCTTTAATGTAGCGTGTAGCATTGTAACGTTCCTTCTTTAATGTGGCTTATTAAATTTAAAAAAGAAAAATG